GTTCGGTGGGCGGGTCGTCTCGTTCTCAACACTTAAAGTTCATACATACTAGGTACGGTACGTTCTGCCAATGGTCGTTCGGAATGGCGGAAAGAACCGCGCGCGAGGCGTTCGAGGAGACGTCTCTTAGGCATATTGGCATCTATATATCTAGTTATCGGATTCGGGATGTGAGTCTCGGAGATTTGGAGGACCGAAGGATGGGGGCCGATTTGAATTCTTTTACAATTTACATTGTACACAGGCCAGACATTGTTGCTAGTAAACCGGTGGGAAACATTCAGAAAAACGGGCAGGGGTTAGACGAGATGGGATGTTGCATAAATCGGGGCTAAGGGCCCGGTCTCACCCTAAATCCATTGGCTGACAACGCATGCCAGACAACGGGAGGAAGGATGAGTGTGAGCTCTCTTGACACACATGGACGGACATCTCTTATCTCGGCATTTGGTCTGGTTTCTAACGGAAGGTCTGAGATCTCTGGGAATTCTGTTCGTCATTTACTGTGTATAACGGAAAATACGAACAAAGGGTAAGAGATACATTTATTCGTGAAGAGAGAAGGGAAACTACGTGAGAAAAGAGTCGTACACAGCATAGTACTCCTCTATCTTAATTAGAAACAACGCGTTTACGTCGAACCATCGGTGCTCCAGAGACAGAGGGGTTAAAGTTATTAGTAAGTTATCTCAGCGGCGAAGCAGCGCACACCTTACGGCACATGGAGATTAGAGATTACAGAAGGGTGAATGCCAAGGCTAGCAACTTGGGGCCATGCATGCTACATAACACTCTTGGGGGATGATTGCCGTTTTGGAGAAACGAATCCACCCGATGGAACGGGCCTTGGCTTGTCGCGACACGTGTGCGTACTAGCGCGACCGAATCTCGATCTAATAAGTCCAGTGCTCCGGCGGGCGACAATCACGAGACACATGAGGTTACCTTCTAGAAGGTGGTGCCAACCTTATTAGCCGAGTTATGGAGAACCTAATTAACTCAGAAAGCAGCCCGCCCCAGATTCTTTTTTGACATGGTGGGATGAACCGTTTGCGGCCAGGTCCATATTGTCCAACCATGCCTCCAGAGTCCAGACAAGCCCGTCACCCGAGCAAGTATACAGATCACAGAAATCATGAAAGAGAATGGTACCTAAGGCTTTAATTGACCAAGTTATCGCAGACAACCTGAGAAACTCTTTACTCAGCACGCCCACACTGTGTAGATAGCAGTTTCTATAGTATAGGTAAGGTATGCCAGAACTGGTGTTATCTCCGTTGCGGATGTATCTAACTTACCATTATATCCATGGATGGAATGAAATAAGACGTCCGTGGTAGTTGCACACTGGCCACTCTCGTCACTGTATTCCATAGATTGCATACAAGATCGAAGCCATGGAATATGGCACTGCCCGAGATTTGAGATCGGCCCCCCGTTTCGGATCAGCCAACGGCATCGGCTTGTACCAAACAAACCGTACAAGTCCAAACCCAGGCTAATGCATCCCATTCGAGAAAGACTATAACCTGTAGTCTATGACATTGCCCTTAGCACAGGGCGTGCTTCCAACAATCTGTTGGATGGTCGGGAATAAATAACGATCGACTAGTAGCCCTTTCAGTTGCGTCTTTCTGTCACTCAAAGATACTGCACGGCGCACTAACGAAAGCCACTGCTGCAGCCTCCGGCAACCGGCTTGCTGAGTTCGCTCTTGGATATACGCTGCCGCCTTCACTGCCGCGTCATTAAGGACCAAATAGCGTCCGGAATTCACGCCAGAGTGCTTAGATGGAATGGATGGCAGGAGTGCGCACGTTGGCCTTTTCTTGACGGCCCTTTCATGGACGTGAACCGCTGGACAGATGAGGCACAGCGCTTAATGTAATTCTGCTAACCCAAATATTCAATCGCCCAGCCTTCCACACGGCGCACAGTCATCTCAACCTCTCGTCTCCACTGCCCCACGTTGCCCGCCTCCCGTCTGGAATCTTAACGGGCTAATACAAACTGACGGAAGCTGCACAGATCACACACGCGATCTGCTTAATACATATGCCCTTATGCATTATGCTCTTCTCCGTGCGAGTCCAGCAATGAACGCCGACTAGGCTACAGGACAATATTGACGGGAAGAGCAGGTGTTTGGAACTCGTGCGCTGAGCTGCTAAACTGGGCGACGGTATGATGATCCTATGCCTCAGCAGCTTTATGCATGATACGTACCGGTTTCGCTATGACTACCTACCTTAGGTAGTAAATAGGAATGCCCCAAGTATGCTAGTATCCCCTACCGCATAGCCGCGAGAGCTCCCCGGGCCGCTAGCTGCGACCGCTTCGCACTCACCGCATCGGGCTCCTTGCGCCCCCGCCATGTAAGTGTACTGTACCAGGATCCTGGCGGGCCAAATCCCAGCATCGGCAAGGCCCCAGCTGGGTGGTACCCCAGGCGTCCCAGCACCCACTTAGCTCGAGATTGTGCCCCCTCGTCCCGCACGAAGTTTCTCACCCCTTCCAAGGATCCCCCCACCCGCACGCCAATCTCATCAGGAAATCTGGGTTGCATTTCCTGACTTTCCAGATGGCACCCCTCGGCCCAAATCTCACACCCTTGCGCTTGGAACGATCTTAAGTGGGACGGTTATCGCTAAGACCCAGAGAGGTGTACCAACACACGTGTACGTACAAACTACAGGCATGTATGCATTGGGTGGATGTACCTTACCTGCCATAGATGTATTTTGCATCCATGGTGAGCGGGGGCGTATGTCCCAGCCCTGAATTACCAAGGGCAGATTTTGGGCGGGTGCGACGTGCCCGGATTCGCTCTGTCATCCGCTCTTTGACCTTGGAGTTGAACACCTCAGTCCGATGGGAGACGTACTCAGAGTCAGTAGTAGGACGGGTAGCAGCACACTTGTCGCCAAATCTCCCAGCAGCAGCAGATTCACCGCGGCCGTGTCCCGTCCGTCCCGCTCTTTGGTCCTGTTTCTCATAGTACTGTACTGTACCGCAGGTATTGTGCCAGCCTTCCACACTGATTGATTGCCCTTGTCGTCGCGAGCAGTCCCGATCGCTTTTTCTCCGACTGGTACATCCCGACCACGATGCACATGGACCGCAGGTTTCCACAAGGGAACACATTCTACCAAAGATAATTGGCTCTATTGTGCTGCAGCCCAGCTCTCCCGTCTCCGTCAGAATACGGGCGTGGTCGCCTTATTATACAACATCTTGCCACCCGCCTGAGAGGTAACCCTTCTCTCCCTTTCCCTCTTCTTTTCCCCCTCTCTCCCTTCTCTCGAGTCTCGCTCCAACGACATTCAAACCGTCCTCAACGGTGTGGTCGGAGGCGCGATTGCCGACGACGGTAGCCTGCAACGGGGCCTAATCAAACTGCATCTATTTGTGATCTCCGCTGTCTCTCCACACGTTCCTGACCCACTCACGCCCGACGCCCAAGAGTCGGTTCGTGCGTGTGCGTGTGCGCGTGCTCGCTCTGTGCAGTTGGGACGAGCTCTCTGGGGGACCCGACATTCCAGCTTGGGGCTTGGGCCAACCAGCACCCCCGACGGCGAGCAGCGAGGCGCCCCCATTTCGTGTTTATTCGCTCGATCTGCGACATTCACCCCGGCCCACAGCCCAGGGCAGGGCCTCGAGACGGGCAAACCAGGCTTGGCCACCAGTCTCCCACGCGCCCATTTCTCACTGACACGGCACGTTACGGAAGAGGGCGAGGCGCTGGAACGCCAAGTCAAGTATTATAGGCCAAAGGTAAGGGTACAGTACATACAGACCTTAGCTGCCCTGTGTGCTGCACAGTACGCAGTACACAGCGGTGTACGGTACGCACATACTAGGTCTAGTCTAGTACATGCAGACACACAGCTTCCCCGAGCGCCTTACCTGACCGGGCTGGTCTTTGAGGAACCCACAGCTCAGCGAGCGAGCCCAGGATCCCACAATCCGTTTTCGCGGGACCGCAGCCGACCCACTCCGCGCGATCTGCCCCAAACCAGCTCTGTCAATCCATGCCCCCCCTCCTCGGCGGCGACTGCCTGTCAAGCCTGGGGCTATCTTATTGAAAAGCAGGGAAAAGACGGGAAACTGTGACCCAAAACGCCCACCTCGCTCACCATAACCCTCCAGTTCGCAGCTCGTGCGTCTCTACCACCACCCTTTCGAGGATTATTAGATCGCTCGGGTGCTGCTAGATCTCGCCTCTGCTGGCTTTTGGGGTTTACGGCCTTTTTTCGAGTTGATGACCAAAAGGAACCTTAGGCGTCTCATTACAAGCAAGAAGAAAGAACTAGGCCTGTCAGCATCGACTGCCCGCCACATCGCCCCCCCGTCCATCCCATCTCGATTGGATCTTAGTCAAACCTCGAGTACCCCTTGGGTCGCGCTGACCTGAGAACATCTGCCCACCACCACCTTGGCCAAGGACGTCAGCCAGCTTCCGTTCCGACCAGGCAGTGAAGCCAGCCCCACGTCTACCTACCTCTACCTACCTTACCTACCTACACCTACCTAGCCTTGATGCAGCACTCCATACACCCACCCGGATTCCACGCAGCATCCTCTCGCGCCCCCTTGTAGCAAAACAGCAGCGCTGGCCACTCGGTTGCTGTGCCCGTCGTCCTCGGCAGAACCACGCATTCTGAACGTCAACGTCCCAAGTCGTTGCGCCTGCGCCGTACCGCCGTCCCGCGACTCACTCAATCTGTATCCTTGATGAGCTCCTCTTGCTCACCTCGGGTACTGACACCAAGATTTGACAAGTCCCGCTATGGATGTGGGCGATTCTAGCGCTAGGCAAAGGTGCGTCCGGTCCCTCGCGCTCGTTTTTGAACAAAGACACGGCCCGTCCGTTTCGTCTGTATCTAACTGCTGTGTTGCATCTGTGCAGTGGGAACCCAACTGCCAATCACCCTGACCAGTTTGATAGACGGCGCCCTACTAGAGAACGTATAGAGACATCATATCGAGAAGGGCCCAGCATGGCGACCGCAGCGTTGATCAGCCCTAGCGGGCCATACCATTCTCATCACGCCTTCTCTGGCTATCCTCATTCCGCCCCTACCACAAGTGTCCCGGGTATGATCTCGCCCGTCGATTCCCGCCGAACTTCGGATGGCTCAGAGACGCCTCATCGGCAGTCCTTGCCTTCCATCTCGGAGGTGTTTTCGGGGGCAAAACAGTCGTCTTTTGCTTCTCCAGCTCCAAACCAGATTGCCCCTACCCAGAGCCTCCCTTCGCCTTTTGGGTCTTCGACGCCGTCCAGGCCCTTTGGAGACGTAGGCCCAGACAAAAACCCATCACCGAGGGCTCTCCATCCCACGTCAGGGTATCCGCGACCCGAGCCTTTGGCGGCCTTTTCTGACCCGTCAAGACCCGTCATGTCGAGCCGGCCTGTGCCCCCTCCGCTAAATACCTTCTCGGGGCCACATCCGTCGCCTCCCGTAAAGATGGAGCAGCTCGAGGCCGAGCATAGACACACGGAAACCTCGCCGTATAGTGCCGGTCACCAACATCCTTCCTCTCAACCACACTCGGCTCACTTTAGCCAGTCCGGTCGACTGCCGCCTGGGCAACTACCTCTGTCCGCGTACCCTGTCTCTCCACGCCATAGCGGACCTTCCCTTCCATCGCCGTTTGAGTCACGATCGTCGATTTACGGCGAAGATGCAGACTATGCGCACGTTCGGGGAAACGAGCAGAAATCATCGGTTGATAAGAACTTTGAGTCGTGGGGCTATGACGAATGCATGCGCACAGTAAGCTACCCACACGTGCACTAGTTTGCACTCCCATAATTAATTTGGGTGCTACAGATTGCAACCACTGCGCGAAGCCTCGTCGGATTTTCCGAGGGCTATATGGCTGCGGCACGAGAGCAACACGGTTCGCCGCCTATCATGTCGCGACTGCCTACAGAAACCGAGCTCGACGTTCTGATCGGCAATACCCTTCTCATCTCGAAGAAGCTGGAAAACATTCGGGGGATGGTGCAACAAAATAGGCTTATGAACGAAAGAGCCCGGGAAAACGGCGGACGCAAGGCGATGGACGACGACGATGTTCCCATGTACGGAGATGGAATGAAGCAGCCGTACAGCATCACAGAAGTGAAGAAACGACGTGGTGTAGGTCATGCCAGCGAATACCCATGCCATGTGAGTGGAAACTTACGCTCGACACAGCGCGCAGCTCCGCCTGGGCGGTGCCATAGCTGCAACAGGATCGACACGCCAGAGTGGAGACGCGGTCCTGACGGCGCAAGAACGCTCTGCAACGCCTGTGGGCTTCACTACGCAAAACTAGAACGCAAACGACAACTCGACCAGAGATCAATGCGCCCCAAACAACCAGACGAACGAAACTAGCTAAGCTTTCGGTTTCGTCTATACTCTTTTTGACATTTCATCTCTACTAAGACGTCATTTCCGAATATGGGCGCGGTGGCTATACATTTCTTCCCATTTTTCTTATATCTATTCTCGAAGTTCCTCACCGGTGGGACATATACGGCTGCCGCAGAAGCACGGCCCTCTTATGTGCAGCACTGAAGCAGGTCAAGCGCGATTTTCATTTTGCATCATCTACAAAAATGTTTGTTTTCTAATACCCGGGGTGTCTGGACTAAATTTCTGACGCGGCCAGCGGAGGTCGGCAAAATCTCTTGTGTATATATACCCCCATGTTCGGTATCTGGGCTGGCTGGTTGGACGGTATTCCTAGGCATCATCATGGCGTCGCCTGTTCTTTTTCTCTCTATTTCCTCTTGTTTTTATTTCCATCACTTATAGATCAGCTTCTAGGTAGCTGACTTAGAAGGAGCGATACAGCGGTTGTGGCTGGGGTTGAAGTTCCAGATTTATGCTTGGGTTATCGCAGGACGGAAAGGGGTCATGCCGATTGCAGGCGGTCTGTTTACTCTAGAGGGGTAGGGTGATGTCGTAGTGCTGGGCCTGGGCTGTCGAACCCACCACAAGCACTGCAGACGTGTCAAGTTATAAGATGGAGGTCTTGCTCAGAGTTCCTTTTCTGTGTACGAGACCGGAAAAGGAGAAGGGATGGCTTTCCTAACTTGAGAGCGGAGGCTGGGGTACACACGGGCCTCGCCATGACGAGCCTCGTCCGCTGGCGGTTACTCGACGCCCCACAAGCAACAAATATGGAGCTGGGGAGGGTGTAGACAAGCGCGTGCCGGCGCCATCTCTATACCGATGAAATGTGTTTGAGCAGCAGCTTTGTTTGGGACGAGCGAAGAGAAAAAACAGTTTCCCGAACTGCGTGTTTTCTGCCATCTACCTACCTACCTACCTTACCTCTGCCTACCTCTACTGTTTACTACCTACTAACTTGCCCTCGCCAAAGACACGGGGCGGGGGAGGCGAAACCCAGTTCAAATTAAACTCTGTTTCTTGGTATTCTGATCTCAGATGTTCTGATGTGTGGTGTGGTGTGGTGTGATGTGACAAGACTCAAGACGGACACACCCACCCAGTGAGCGAACTGCCTCGACCTACTCCGTAACTAAAGTAGGTAGGAAGTTGTTACCATTCTTCTTATCCATGGGATAGGCGGACGGAAGGACGGGTACGAGCATACAGCCAGCAAGCGAGCGGGCTACTAGCCGGCCCGCGTGGAATCTCTACTAATATTACCTTGCCTACCAACCGCCTTGGAGTAAGTAGGTATATAATTGTATTTATCTCCATATTGTATGTATGTGGTATGCTCTCTTCGCTCTCTTCGTAGTCAGTCAGTCACTTATCCATCCTATCCACCTATTAACTGCTAAATGAAGCTCGCATGGCATGGCATGATATGTTGGTTAAGCCAGGTAAGGTATCTTATGTAGCATGGCGTAGCGTATATTGAGGTATCTAGGTGCAGTACAGGACAGTACGTGTCGGGCTGGATCCACTGAGAGAGACAGGCTTTTCTTTCTCTCGCCCGAGGCTGAGATATATTGACATCTAGACATCCGACATCTAACATCCAGTATCCCATTCCGCAACCAGTGTTTTCCCAGGCACGGGGAAAAGTAGAAGTTCTCTTGCCGTGCCAACAAAACCAAACGATAGGCGGGGTAATAACGACGATGCCATTTTATTTGCTGCTCAACCTTCTTCCCTGAACCCGGCCACATTCCCGCCGCTGCTTCGCATCCCGAACGCCCTGCGTTTCGCGTAACATGTTCGCGGCGGCTTCCCTCCCCACACACTCAGAGAGAGCACTTTACCCCATCCACCGACAACGACCTCGCTTCCCTACCCCCCCTTCGCATGTTCCTCCCAAACTGGTATTATAAAAATAGAGAGGGCAGGGGAAGGCAGAGGGAAGCACGAAAGAGACACCCAAGTGCCAAGATCACCTCGTCACCCTGTACCCTCCGCCGGCGACGGACTAGAGTAGCAACTACAAGACGCTGTGCGACATGACCATTTCATATTCTCCCTTGGACGGCGCTGCGGGCAGCCGTCCAATGCACACACAACATGACATGACATAGCACAGCACGTATCATGTAATCCCTGGCAAATGTGTCGAGGCCCTGCGGCAGGCAGAGAGAAAGCCAGCCGGCCAGCCCAAGCAGAGAGGGGGGGAAAAGGGGGGAACAGGTCGAGGCCGACAGTGGCGTCTCACGAATAGGTCGTGATGTACATCAAAACGGAGAAGGGGGGCTGGTAGTGGGTTAGTGGCCCCTATGCTCCCGGCCAACGAAGAGAGGAACGAAATATGACTACGGCGGGAAAGAGGAGACTGCTAGCTCTCTCGTCTGCAACATTGGCTGCTCCGTGAACAAAGAGAAATACCATGACTGCCCCGACGTTGGATGCTAGTCTCGTCCATGGAGCCCGAGTGTTTCTGGGGGAGGGGAGTAGAATGTGATATATGATAGCGAGATGGCGCTTTCAGGTTTGCGGCGCCTTTTTCGCGGCCAAGGGGGGGAGGGGAGGGGAGGGGGGAAGGAAACGGTAGGACCCTTTGTGGTGTCACAGAGTTCGCCCTTTTCCCTGGTTTTCTTGTGCTCTGGTCGGAGTCGGAGTCGGGGGGAAAGAAAAGAACTCGAGTCTGAAAAAGTAACCATGGAGATCTGATATTCCGGCGTGTATCTACGCAACTTCCACGCCCAGTATGTCCCAAGGCATACACTGTAGTACAGTACCTAGGTAGGTAGGGGGTGCGGGAGCGCAGGGCAGGCGGCGAATAACACGCGCAAATGCATATTCCAACACCACCAACGACTACCCTAAACCTGACAGCGGCACTTGGTCTAGGTGTGGTGGGCTTGGAGGCAGTGAATGGGATAGGTACCTCGGCACAGCCCGGTAGAGGCATCTCATATCGAAGGCCAGAAAAGCAAAGAAAAGCCCACGAAAACGAAGCATAATCTAGACCGTCCCGGCCGGCGAGAAGAGACAGCTAAGCCATGGCGGAAGTCGGGGCCAGTGGAGAGAAGAGACATGAGAAATGAGGCTACCTTACACGTGCAAAAGAGGGGAGGAAATGCTCCTGTTTGGTGGCTTGCTGTGTGCAGAGAAGACAGTAAAAAAGAAAAAGGAAAAGAGACCCCTCACACGCCTCTCGACCTGTACGGGCACCTGCAGCATCAGCCCACGACTCTTGTCGCCGGCTATCTAGATTGCTTTTAGTGCGAGAAGGCGCGTTTTGGCCCAATTATGTCTAGGTATAGGCCTCTCGGCTGGACCTGCCTAGGTTGCATAGGCCTCATCCTGGGATGGAAAGACGAAAAGAAAGGAAGCAATGCCCTGCAACGAGAATCACGCTCCTTCTTACCGCTGGGCTGTGACCTAGTATCTATCGGATACCTGGCTTGTTCTAGGTGTGGTGGAGTACATGTGCCTACCGTACTGTAGTCGTGATGGTCCCTAGGGCGCCTTCCGCTTTTGAAGCCGGTGTGGGTCAAAGGCTCAAAAGGGAGTAAACACGATGAGGAGAGAGAGCAAGGGAGGAGCCAAATGGCGAGTCTAGAACTTTGGTTGCTTCTTTCCGTCCCGGTTTCGGGCCAATAGCCAGCCCATTCTATTTCAATAACCTGGAAGATGGTTCTCTTTTGCTGCCCAGTTGTCGGGGTTTCAGTGCTGGGCACCCGAGCCGGGTGGGAGGGGAGTGCAGGACGGATCGGAGACGACGAGATCCAGGGCAGATCTCCGCAGCCGAGAAAGGGCTTCCTTTGTTTCCCAAGAAGGACGCAAGAAGCACATAGGAAGCCCAGCCGCGGGGGAGGGAGGGGTGGAAAGCGGAGAGCGAGGAAGGAGGTGCGGGGTCTGGCTTGTCAAACCGAGATGGGCTCTCTCTGGATTATGCACGTAGGCGGTATTGGATCTGAGGATCCCGATTTGCCCCCAACTCCAAGCCCCTCCATCCCAAACCGGGCCCACCACTGGCTCAAGCAGCCAGTACGCCAAGACAAGACGCGCACTGGTCGACACGTGTATGTACTGTACATGTGCGCTGCACTGCTGCATGCAACCAGAAACCTTTCCATTTTCTCCTCCTCAGAACGGAACTGCCCGTCCAGTGTCAGACCCAGCCTGGAGTCCAACCAATATGTGTGGCCCGTATGGACGTCATCCCATCTCAGCCAGCCAGCCAGCCAATCCATCTCTGGTCTCCAGACTCCAGACCGAAGAGTGCCTGCCAGACTGGGGCGCAATGCGTTATTTTCCACATTCGGGGACCCCCAGCAAGAGGCTTCTCTTTGGCTCGAGACGGGCGCCCCCTGACGTCACGCTGGCCTGGCCTGAACGGGCTGGCTTTGGTGGCCGACACACGGCAGCGAGGAGCCGGGGGGAGCAGGGTGGTTGATTTGTAAAAGATATCCGTATGCGCAATAGCCTCTCGAGTCTCGTCGGCCGCGTGTCTAATCCTTTTGCCGGAACTTAACGTCTGGGCCGTCACGGACTCCTCGCGCATATCGATCTGGCATGAGAGATTGACGCCGACCAACCAGGTACAGTACCTACCTAATTATAACACTGACGCTCAATACGCACCGCGCGGGTATCCGTCCAAATGTCCGGGAGTGAATATTGGCGCAGTGAGGGCACTCGCTTCTCAACCGCCAACCATTGAACGAGCACCAGGTGAGCCTCGCCTCGTGTGCGCGCGAGATGCAACACATGCAAGGCACATATGCGGTCACGCGACGGCGAAACCCATACAGAAATAACGGTCCAGACTAGTCAGGCAAGTCGCTGGAACACGCGCAGAGATAAGACACACTATTGCCCAGGCTAGCCGAACTGTGGCTGGTTGGCTGGCTGACAAGTGTCGGAGTGTATCGGAGTGTGTTGGAGCCAACATCCAAATCTCTGCACTTGAGAGGGCTTGCATCTGCATGGCAACGCCGAAGCCGCGCCAGGATGGGGAAGAAGGCATTCAGCTGCCCACCAACTAGGGCCATTGCCTGGTACAGTACCATCTTATGCCTTGGAGAAGTCGCCGGCCATGATAGGACACGCTAATTGTGTTACGCCAGCCACATACGAGAACGGGCCGTCGTAAATGTGGAAGGAGGATAGGAGTGGTGCCGGTCGAAGGCGGGAGACCTTTTCCAAAACGCATGATTTACACTGGGTTGCTTCTGCACAATATCGGCCAGACTATAGTCCAGGTCTAGTGGTGGCTTCCAAACCCCGGCGAGTGTGCATGGCACGCCAGGCTGTCGAAATACACGGCATGTTTTTTTGCTCGTTTCTTTTTTCGTGGATATTCCATATTTTCGCTTGACCAACCCGACCTGTTCTAGGCTCTAAGACATGGCACCCTGACGGCGACGTCATTCCAGAGAACTGCCCAGCCACGACAGCATGAGCGGTGTGGACTATGTGGCAGTTGTGGACCACATGGCATGCTTCATGACACCAAGAATACGTCAAGCGTCGTGCTAGAGAGCCGATGAGAGCGGCTTGCGGCTTGCGGCGCTGTCGGTACCGAGGCCAAGGCGCGTTTCTCGTTGCGGCGCAAAGGCAGCTTGGCCTAAGGTAGGCTATCCCGGCCTACTCCGCTTCCGTGCCCGCTCTAGGATCTCCTGGGATCAGCCTAAGAGAGGCTCCCGCAAACGCCTAGACAGGGACACCTGGGCGAGAAGCCCTCGGATGCCGCTAACCCAGACCCGCCGATTTACGGAAAGCCGAGACCGAGGGCCCAGATCGGTTCCCTAACTGGCCGCCCTGGACAAAGTTAGAAACATGTCGGCCGGCCGACTTGCTGCTGTCCTTGGGCACCTGGCATCTGACAGGACCCTCCTTGCCTACAAGTCAGTCACAGCGTGAGTGAGATGGGCCGTGTCCGATGGAAGAAATATGCAGTACTTCCCAGGGGTGCGGGCATCAAACGTCACTCGCCGAGCCCGCACAAACAAGAAGATGGGCTCGCGGACGGCCCGGATGGGTTCCTCCGGTGACAGCAGGCGATGGCAGCCAGCTCATCGACAGACTCGCCGAGAGGCGCATGTCAGGCATGCGTCCTCCAGTGTCACCGCCCTTCTAACTGTTCGACGTCCATGCAACATGCGAGTGCAGGAAGCGTGCTTCCAAAGTCCGGAGCGGGTGTCTCGGCAGCTGTCCCCTGGTTGCGGCCGCGTGGAACTATGGCTATGGCCAACTCGGTTCAAAATCTTTGTCATCTAGTTATCTGGTGATATTATCAGCAAGGCTGGCACAAGACGATCCAACCTCGAGAACATTAGTAAAGTGCTAATCATGGCTCTCTGTCTTAGGTGGGGGTCGTGTCTTGTCGTCTCACCTTCTAGAAGGCCTCTCTCGTCTTCGGGAGCACCAAGCCCCCGGCGGATGACATAACACGTGAGACACGGAAGTTTCGTTTCCCTTGGTCCCTTGTTTCTGTCTGTCCAACTCTCGGTGCGAAGGGAACTGGTAGCCAGGAGCCGTGGCAATAAGGGTCGCTGCACTGCTCGATAAGGGTACATGCGTGGTGTCGGGCGAGTCGCCGGACCGACACTGCACAGCAACACGGCGGAGCACGAGTAAGCAACACGTTGCGTTTCCCAGTAGGACCCTAGATTTCCTTTTGGAGAGAGGGTTCCTTCGTCCTTGCTTGAGGGCCCAGTTCAGACCCAGGGTCCTCGGCGGGATGGACAACCAGTCTTTTTTTTTTTTTTTTTTTCTCAGAGTTGTACACACACATGGGCCTCCCTAGATCGAGAGGTCTGTCTCATCTTCGCGTTTTTTTGGGAGGTATGTATGAACACGGTGCGATCTCCATCTCTGCGCTCGTCGCGGTACATCGGCCCAATGAGCACCCGCTCCCGCCACCAGCCAGGGCCGCCGCGGTCTCAGACCCTGCGTGCACAGCTATGTCATCGGTTTCTTGTTCCTGGTGTTTTGCTGTCAGGGTCCTCGCCCTCGCCCAGGAGGGCGGGGTATGGTTAGCAGGGGTGTTGCAGCAAGGGACCCTGCAGGTAGGCGTTGTCGCTGTGCAAGCAAGCGGCTAACTAGTTCTTTTCCCTTTTTTATTCCCTTCAGCTCGGAAATGCGCTATGGCCGTGGTGATGCGGCATCTGGGTCGGCTGGCCTTGGCCTGGGCGACACCAAATGGCTCAAGTAGCGATGCGCGAGTATGAGCTGTTTTTGTGTGTTCGGGGTTGGCAGAGAATATTCTTACCGCCTAGACGAATTTCATTTCATCTTGTGGCATACGGGGGTGTTAAGACATACGATGGAGTATCCAAAGTGACTGAACTGTTATGGTTGCTAGGCTGGCTGCCTAAGGCGAGCAAACAAATAGGGGCTAGGGGGGGTTGGGAGAACGTCGTAAACAATACCAGCAAGCAAACGGGTCGCGTTTACAACACCGACCGACCTTCAAACGCTCTCGCCAGTCAGCCAACCACCAGCAGCCTAAATCGCATCGCAAAGCAAAGCAAGCTCCGTATCCACCTGCGCCCGCCCCCTTTTCCATGTCATGCCCCTTGTCCCCACAACACCATCGCTGAAAAAAAGGAGGAAAAAGGGAAGAAACCCTAGGGCAGGGCACTCCCCACACGCAAAAGCGCATGCAACTTATTTACCGCAATTACCGCAATCCTCTCCATCAAAAGCACACAACTCGTCGTTAATAAACGGTTATGGGCGTGTGGCTCAGTTGGTAGAGCGTTCGCTTAGCAATCCACCCACCCAGTGTTGTCCCCAAGATCATCCTGGGCCTTGGTCCACATTGCGAAAGGTCCTGGGTTCGATTCCCAGCCCGTCCAGAATTCCCACGACGAGTTGTGTGCACTCTTGTTTTCCCTTTCCCTTCAATCTCGGGCTTTTTCCTTTTTTTTTTCCTTTTTTATCTTTTGTCAAAAAGAAAGGGAATTCCTCGCGATATTATCTGCGTAATTATACCGTAGGGCATGTGCATAGGTAGTTTTGTCTATGCTTGCTTAGACTATTCTACGACTGACTGGGAACCCTTCTCTACCTTGGTGAATGATAATGAAGGAAAAGAATTCCTCAAGTCACCTGTTTGGGCTACCTCTTGAGTGAGGACTTGTTCACATGAAGACATGCCAGGCATTACTTACCTGACATTTCTATATCTACTTGTAGATGCTCGGCATCCCTTCACCTTACTACGCCATGCGTTGCATGGCATGTGTTTTTCCCGCCTGCTACTTATAACCAAGCCGGACACGTCGGACCCTCCTTCCACCTAGTAAATCAAACAAAAAAGGGAGAGGAACAGAAACAAAAAATATACAGCATCTGAGATTCGTTGGTCGTCACCGGCCCAGCTACTAGTCAGACGATCAGTAACTTGTGTAGGGGAGAGCGGACGGGATCCCGAAGTCTTCACTGTCTATGGCCGTATGTGTCTGTCGTCTGCCATGCTGGCGCATATCACGTCCCGGACTGCTGCGGAAGTGCACTCAGGGATAGAGATGACGACCGAATGAATAAATGCTAGATAAGGTAGAGGCTCAGTCCATGTGTATTACTTGGCGCTTCATATAATATAGCGACGTGTTGTCTAGTGCGTAGATGCGGGGAAGTATATATATATGTAATCTAGGGTGCTTTTCTTGCTGTTGAACCCATGAGAAATGTCGTTCTCGTGACTCTAAAGTGAAAACAACCTACTGCTCCAGGTAAATATCACGGCTGTGAACATCGGTTTTTTCCTGGTTTGTGTAGAAGCTAAACTGCCCGTAAACATCAAGACCACCCCCCCCCCCCCCCCCCCCCCCCAAAAAAAAAAAAATCAAAACTGTTTCTGGAGCGAATCAGAAACGTATAAAGGCATAGACCAACCTATCTACCTACCTAGTACGCACTACCCAGCCAGCATACACTTGGAAGGAAGGAAGATAGCAGACGTTGGTAACAAAGCGCGGGAAAGGAGACCACACGCACTTCTAGGCATGAATATCTCATAACTAACTACCTAGGTAGGCAAGGCAAGGCAGGTGAAAGAAGCAAGACCGAGACGCAGTTGAGAAGTCAATATAAATAGATAGAGAAGACAGTAGATAGATAACTAGACGGATGTGACCTTGTCCTTCGTCAGTACCTAGGCAAGTAGGCAGGGGACCAAGTAGATACAAAATCTCTCTCTCTCAATGGGAGAAAATAAAACATAATGTAGCAGTAAACATACTCGGTCAGTCAGTAACCCGCCTACTTAGCAATGAAGCGGCCTAAGTGCAGCGAGGTAAGTAAGTAGTTAAGTAAGTAAATAAGTAGCAAGGCAGGTAACTGTAAGGGTAAGGGTAAGGGTAAAGGCAATAAGTAGCTATAATAAAGCCAACCAGCCGCCGCCGCCGTCTCTTTCTCTTCTGCATACCAAACGGGCAAAGCAAGATGCGCACAACACACAGCACATAGCACACACAGGCATACGAGCACACAAAAGAAGCAGTGCATACTTCCCCCCGGTATTATTGAAAAAAAAGGAAGAGGAGAACACAAACACGGAACCACCACCACCAATAAAAACACCCCCACAGCCCCTCTTGCCATGCCATGCCATGCCATGTAATAACACTACCATAGCACCATCACGCCCCGCCCCTCCTAAACGGGCCCAGAAACCGCTCGAGGCCAGGGACGCCGGCTGCAGCCCAGCCGCGGCCCGCCTGCTCGCTCTCGCCGACGGCGATGACGGCGGCGACGAGGTCCTTGGTGATCTCGTCCGAGACGACGCTGTCGCGGGCGTAGGCGGGGTGGGCAGCGACAAAGGCGCGGATCCACGCGGCGGCGGTGCACAGCTCGCCCGAGGCGCGCATGCGGATGAGGTCGAGGTAGGTGGCGAGGCGGCAGCGGGTCAGCACGTCGACGTTGACCGAGTCGAGGTACGACTCGACGATGGGGATCAGGCCGGGGAAGAATTCGTCGCCTTCGTCAGAGGACTGTTGTTCTTGTTGGGCTCCAGAAGAAGAGCGGGCTGCGTACGCCGTGCCGTTGATGATCTCGTTGACCGACATTAGGCGGTACTCGTCCTCGACGGGGCCGGCGGGCGGGGTGGCGGGGCGGCTGCCGGGGCCGACGGGGGTGTTTGCGCCCGAGGACGAGGCCGAGGCTGCGCGGCGGGGCGGGCGGGCGGGGAACAGGTTGCGGCGGAAGTAGAACTTGCGGTCGAGCACGGCGTCGCGGGCGTGGGCCGTCTCCATGTTGGCGTCGACCTTGACGATGGGGATGTAGAAGTTGAGGTCGAAGCTGAGGATGGCGCGCGTGATGAGCACCATGAAGACGGCGAAGGCGGCGTTCTCAAAGTCGGTCATCTGGATCTCCATGGGGCGGAACTCGACGCGCCAGCCGATGCTGTTGTCGGCCGGCGGCGGCTTGAAGCGCATGTGCTGCCAGTTGGTGCTCTGGATGTTCTCAAAGTGGTCCGTCTTGCTGAGGTCGAGCGTCTCGAGGTCCTCGGCGAAGATGACGATGGGGTCGCGGATGAACAGGTGGGCAAAGTGCGTCGCCAGCCGCGAGTCCATGCCGCCCTCCTCGAGCTCCTGCTTGATGGCCTCGTCGATGACCAGGTTCGGGTCCATGTACTCGGGCCGCAGTCGCGCGTCCGTCGAGATGTACGTCGAGTTGGACGCGTACCGTGACTTTGGTATCCGCCACCGGTTGTTTTGCAGCGGCTGCCGCATGAGTCAGCACTCGCCCTCAGGGCGGGATGGAATGTCTTACCTTGTCGCCCAGCTCCTCGGCCGTCCTGTCGTCGACGGCCTTGCTGATCTGGTTCCACCGCACGTCCGTGTCGGCCAGGAAGCCCTTGTAGATGGGCGTAGCGGCGGTCAGGGCGAGCAGGATGGGGCCGAGCGGGCTCAGCTGGTCGTACATCTGGCGGCCCTCGGTGATGTTCTTGGCCTGGAAGGTGATCTGCAGGCAGCAGCTGCCCATGCCAAAGGCCATGGCGTCCATGTGGATGAAATTGTCGGGTGCGGCGCCGCCGGTGCGCACGTCCTCATCCTCGGGCCACTGGTGCAGGTCGCAGTTGACCGTCGGGTCCTTCCACGGCCACGACGTCTTTTCGTCACGGAACACGGGCACGTTGACCTGCACCTTGCGCCCGCGCCGCGAGCGGATGTTCGCCGCTAGGGTGGGGAAGCGGATGTGTGGGTTCGCGATCTCGTCGGGCACGAACTGGGACCGCAGCTTGGGCCCCGACACGGGGTATGCCGGGTCCGTGAACACGCCGGGGCTGCCGAGCCGCGGGAACGTCGTCAGCGTGATGGGGAACTCGGTCGGCAGCATGTGGTCCTTGGCGATGCGTCTCCTGTCGTCGGCCGATTCATGTTAGACTGACGGCACATCGAGACAATGACGAACGATACACGATGTGCAAGACGAGCATTACCTCAGCTTCATGTCTGGCTCGACATTCAGCAGCTCCTTGAACTCGATGCCCCACGGCTTGCCCGGCGTGGCTTCGAGCATGAACCTCCCAAACTCTGGGTGGAAGACGGGAAACGGGTCGTCAGTCCTGTAGAGCAGCAGAGCAGGCATTGTGAGCACGAGGTCGGCATCGCGATGCATGGCCGAGAATCCTCTTACCGAGACGCGACATGGCCTTGGATGTCAGGGACGCCGCCCCCTTTGGCGGCCAGGCTCTTGTCATTAGCCAAGGCCTCGAGGATGTCTGCCTGCCTCAGGGACAGCAGCACTTTGGGGTCTTCCTTTGAGTAGGTCACGACGAGGTACTCGACCTAGGAGAGGGACAGGCGTCAGTCAGGGTTTGCTAGGCCGAAGCGGAGTAGGGTGGTGCGTGGTTACCTCGTCGCCCCAGAGCATGGCATCCCGTTCTTTCCCCTTGGCCCTGTTCCATATCTCGAGTAATTGCTACGCCGAGTGTCAGCCAACCTCGTCCTTGGGTGACTTGACTTGGGCACGTGCGCCGTGCGGAAGACGCGGCCCCTCTTCGGCAAGGGCCGTCTTGGGATCCGAAAAGGGGGTGTGGACGAGGGTCTTGGTCTCACCTTGATGCCCCAGGCCCGGACCAGATGTGACTGCTTTTTGGCATCGGGCCAATCCAGAGCGGTTCCCTGGGCGCTTTACATGTGGTAAATCAGCATGGCGTCACGGACGGCCGAGAGGTCTGCCTGCCTGGCCGTCCCGGCATTGGTTCCCCCACGGGGTGGTAAGTAAGGGGCAAGGGGATACATACAGGAGACCCATTTTGTGCGTCTTTGTTACGGACGAGTCGGGTCGGGGTTGTCTATTCCTTTATCACAGATCCGGCTTTCTCCCCTGCGTGGTGTTCCGTCCCACGGGGATCGGTGGCGGGATGACACCTCACACGCCCTGCTAGCACCTGGACAGAACAGATTGGCGAGGTGTAAGCAGGCGGCTGCGGGCACGGCAGAGACACCACACGACAAACACAACCACCAACACCTTTGGCCGCCCTGAACCGGACTGTACTGGCTTTCTCCCTTTTTCTCTCTTCCTGTTTGCTCGGCCTTGCTCTCCCTTGGATCTCGGTGGGCCTGGCTAAGAGAGAATTAACAGACCGGCCGTAACTAAGACGGTAACAAGTGCGGCGATGAAGGGTAGACTTGAATTGAGTGAAACAAGGAGGAGCGAGTGAGTAAATGATCAAGGGGTGAGTGACAGCGGGCAGCTCGATGGCAAGACAGCCTGAGAGTGCTCCCTTCGAGACAAAGGCAAGTGAAGCCTTTCTGCCTTGCTTGGTTCAACAATCAGCGTGAATGTAGCTTGGCATGCCTTGCCTGTCCGACAATTTTCTTTCTCTCTTTCGTCCTAGAAGAATCGGAGAGATGCAAGGCACAGCACAGCAGAGCAACAAACATAGCACGCACAGCAAGCAGTGCAGTGCAGTGCAGTGCAGCCAGCACACACTTTCAGCACACCCTCTTTCTTGTCTTTCTTTCTCTTCTCTTGCAGTTGCAATCACTCACTCACTCACACGCAAAAAAAGCATCAAGGTTGCCGCCAACCATCCCCCACCACCTCATCCCCTCACCTCACTCACGAGAGCAGCCCCCCACGTTTTTCATGGTTTCAAAGAGGCTTTCGTGGGTAGGTTTTGTTGTGGGTTTAGCTTTGCTGGCTTGGCTCGGGCGGAGAAACCGAATCACAGGATGAGATGCAGATGCAAGCTTGGGGGGAGCAAAAAGGCGTCATCGCGTCCACGCAATCGTTCTGGGCTCCCAGTGGACGAGAGAAAGCATGCGTTTTGAGGCTGCTTGCTGTTGCTTGCTCGTGCTGCTGCGGGGGACAGGGATGACATTGGCACCACCCAAGCACGAGGCGTGCTTGGCAGGCCGGATTGGAATGACTTTCGAACCCTTGTTGCAAACAGTGGGAGGCGGAGGAAAAAGAGAAAGGAAAATGATATATAAAAATGCAAGTTACCTTTACTAATTTTATTGTCAGTCGTGTGAAGCCGAAAGCCCTTTGTCTGGCTGGGGGTGAAATCTTTTTGATGCTGTGTGATGGTTCGGCTTGACGGAGGGGGGGGATAGGTGGTACTTTTACTATTTGTGAGCGCTTGAAAGTGACCCGATTATCGCTGCGGTGTGTATGGGGGAAGAGTCCTCTGTACGGAAATGCACGGTGCCCGCGTACAGATATGTACGTCTGTAGAAATAAGAGCGGGCGTGGAATAGACGGAATAGATTTTTCGTTTTTGCTTTTCTCCTTTAACCTAGGCCTTTTTTTTTTTTTTTTTTTTTTCAAAGTGATAAGCAAAGTACCGAGCGAGTAAGTTTGGCAGATTAGAAACCCCCGTCATTCTCACCTCCAGGTTTCCCTGCGGACAAAAACCCCGTCAAAGAGTCTCCACACCCCGCTCCCCTATTTAAAGAAAGGAGATCAGACGAGGTAAAAAAAAATCGAGTAAGCTTAGTTCCGACAGCGGGAAGCGAATATGGGACCGTAGGGAGCTGCCGGCTGTGGATATCAGTACTCTATCCAAGCCACGCTACCTCGCCCCCTCGTCGAGTCCGTCCATCGGATGTGCCTGACACATTGGTTTTCGTCGCAAGAAAATGGCCTTGACTCTTTGCTGCCGCTGCTGCTACTAGTTTGCGGGGAAATCTACGGTAGCCACTTCCTGTCCGATGTCCAGCATCGCCTTGATTAGAAATACGCACATAGCCATCGTCCACCGTCCATCGTCGCCTCCACTAATAATAAAGCCGCCTGGTCTATCAGGTCCATCTCGCTCGCTGCTCCCAAGTAAGGCAGGGCAATTACTGTACTGCGCCTGGCTCACTGGACCTTCTTTTTTTTTTTTTTAATTTGAGTATCAGCCGGCTGTCGTCGGGAAGCCGAGGTGGATTGGCTCGAACGACGGGCTAATAATGCATCTGCGTTGCAAAACGTGCGTGCTTTGCAGCAGCGGCTTAGGAAGCAGACGCACGCTTTTTCTGTACCGAAAAGAGAATTCCGGAAATCTGCCGCTACGTTGCGTCACAGTTAGTCTCCTTCTCTCCGGTGTATTAATAACCCGACCGAAAGGAACTGCGCCCGACTTCTTACCCGGCCCGGTGCACTTCCGCCAAGCCACAACAACACCCCAGATAAGAATATAACTGACGTGGAATAAGCGTTGATATGACGAGTGAAGAGTTTTGGTAAAAAGCACCCTCAAGACTCAACTCAAGACTCAACAAACGGAATTGTTTCTATCCAACGCTCACAATAGAAATGTTTGATCTTTATTTTCCTCTTTTGAGAAGCGGCATCAAAAGTAACAGATAGCAAAATATTACAAAGAAGCGACACGGTTTTTAAAACACGGTCCTACCTATAAAAACGTAAATGTATATATATGTGTGCCGGCGTCTTCCGAGCGCCGGCAACGCAGCCCAAACAATGCAAAAACGCCGCTCTTGTATGCATCCCCCCTTTCTCTTGGTTACCGAGTTGCTTTTTGTGTTGCTTTCGTAACCCGTCCCCCCTCGTATCCAAGAAATAGAAAAGTCTCGGATGCCCTCTCTCTATGCCAACCCGATGCGTTTGTCGTTTTTTGTACAAGAAGAGTTCGGCCCGTGTTTGTGGTGGTACAGAAGATAAAAAGGAAACGAGATATGGGTATGAGAAATGAGAGATGATTAAATCATCAGATATAAAACAGACATGGTTCGTCGCCGCCAAAATGCAGGAGATAAAAATAAAATAGACTAAAGAAAAACAGTTCATCGCGGTACGAGCGGATCACCGCACATTGAGAAACAAATCGTCACCTCGCCGGGTTGGCGTCAGTTCCGGCCTCCATCCAAACGCCGGAGACGCGGGCCCGGCAGCCGCAGGAGGGGCATACCCCGGACGCATCGACGCAGGAGGAGCCAGGCCCTGAGGCCCGAGGCTTTCCCGCGCCCATCCCGTTTTGTTCTTCTTCAGGGCAGCATCTTGGCCACCAAGCTGGAGCGCTGCCGCCTTATCTGCGCCCAGACGCTTGGCCAACAACGAACTCTGCGCTATATTGTCTGCAACGTGGGCAGCCTGGCGAGACTGGGGATGGGGCGGGCGCCATTCCTGCTGCGGAGGTGTGGTATAGTATCCCTGTTGCGTAGGACGCGCGCCTGGATGTTGCGCCGGGGGGTATGGCCGCCGCTGTTGCTGGGCTTGAGGTGGTGGCTGCTGTTGACCCCAGTAACGAGATGTGTATTTTGCCTCTTGCTGTCGTTGCTGCGGACCCCTCTGCTGCTCGATTGCAGGGATGTTGCCCAGCCTAGTTTCGGGGGAGCCTGATCTTAGCTGGGCGGGATTGCGGTTTGGATTTGGGTTTAGAGTCGGGCCAGCAAGGGGTCTCTTTGGGCCTGAAATTTGAGCTATTGGTGGCGCTCCCATTCTTTTGGCCGGGACTGATCCCCCAAGTGTAGGGCTGGGTTGCTCCATCGGGCTCACGCTGGGGTATCTGGGAGGTTGGAGAAACCCGTTTGCATTTTGGACATTACCGCGGCCGGAAATCGTGGGATATTGAACAGGTGGCCTTCCCGGAGGGATGGGCGACTCTGCAACGGGAGACAGTTCGCCTTGAGAATCATCATCGATGATGTCGTCATCTTCGAACGGCCCTGACGGCGCTGAGTCGATCGATGTTGCTGAATCTTGGGACCTCCGACGGCTTGTCCTTCGTGACTTCCTCCTGGACTTGCTGCTAGCCAGCTCGCGGGCCCCTCTGACCGTAGTGAAATAGTTATCTGGGACTGCTTGTTTGGCGGGTACGATGTTCCTTGGACTAGCTGAAGCGGGTTGACCCACCCCATTGGAGGTTTTGGGGGAGGCCATTCTGGGCCCTTGGCGATCTCTGAACACAATCGGGGAGCCCAGCTTCCCCTGCCCAGGCTTTTGCGGAAGGCGGAGCGGGGAGACTGCGGCATCAGGCGACAGTTCAGCAAATGCTTCCCGGGCTCTTTCGGCCTTTGTTTTGTCTTCGGGGCTCGGTAGTTCAAGTTGTGGAATGCCCGGCGCGGCTAGCATCGGCGGCGTGTTGTTAGCCTCGGGTTTCCGAGTTGACGTATTGCGCAGCACCCAATTGCCCCCTTTGTCCGCAAAATAATATGCTGTTGCTGACTGGGGATCAGTAGGTGGTGGTCGCCATACTGCAGTTCCGGATGCGCTTTCTCCCTCCCCGTCCTCGGCAAACTCGGTGACTATGCTGTCTCGTCTATTGGTCGAAGCTTGGGTCATTTTGCCGGCCGCTTTTGGTATGTCAATGGTCAGCATCGGCTTCGGCGGGCTCGGCACCGTCCGTTGCGGCGTCTGAAGATGTGGGGGAGGGGCCGTCGCCATCGCCATAGCCGAGCCAACCCTCTGAACCATCCTGGGGCCATTCGTCCTGCCGACTGTCGGCGAACTCGTCCGAGGCGAGCCTGCGAGTGCACCAAAGGCAGGGGCTGGTCGGCCGATGGCGGGTGCCTGCGAGCTGTAGTAAGGTCTGGATCGAAGAGGAGTATCCATTTCTGTAGGGCGGTGAATAGGGTTTGAGATCTGGAGTACATGAGGGTCAATCTGGTTACGACCTATGCTCCAGGTATCGCTCATTTTGGAGAAGCCCGATTCAGGCTCGCCGGCCCTCTTCCGTCGCAGATATCTGACCAAACACACGATAAAAATGGCAAAAACTACGATGGCAGCAACTCCGAGCACAATGCCGGCGATCTGTGGACTAGTGAGAGCTGGACGACTACTTGTGGCCGCGGCTTGGTCGAGACTACCCGTGGATGCCGGTGGTGGTGGCGGCGGCGCAGTGGTCGTGCTGGAAGTAGAACTACCGGCACTCGAAGCCGTCGAGGACTCGGGATCTAATGTCGCCGTGCTAGTAGTCGTGCCCGGTGAACTAGTTGTCCGGGTCGCCGAGGTACTGGCCTTTGTAGCACTGGTCGTCGGCGTTGGTGTAGGGACAAGAAGGGGGCCAGTTCCCGAAGGCACGACCAGTGTCGCCAAGATGGTCGCGTGAGTCCTCGGCGCTGCGCTGGATATACCAACACACATGTTATAAGCAGTCGACGTGCGTTGCTCTACCCAACAGTTAATACGTGGCGCTGGTTGCAAGCTGAGCAGCAACCACTCACGGGTTCCATCTGCCCCTTGGCACCTTCCGATGCTCTTCTCGGCAATCATGCACGACACGGCGCCCTCGCCTACCGTGTAGCCCAAGCTTCCCGTCTGACTGCACAGACATGCTAGCGATGGAGAGTTACCGCATGTCTTGAAGTCAAAGTTGGCCACGATAAATGACTGGAAGCATTCCTGGGCACAGGGGGGCACGAAGTTGAGGACCTCGGCCGGGACGGTAGGCGATGATGCCGCGCCAGCAAAGGCGCCGAACGTCGTCCATAGTAACGTGAGGCATAGGAATGGCCTGAATGCCATCCTCTGGAACAACATCTGCCGTGGCTGTTAGTGACATGGGCCCGGGCCTACGAAGGCTTCATAGAAGTAGGCAGTAGTAAGGGAAGGGAAGGCTGTGGTACCACCTACCTCATCGCATTTGCGTCTGGAAAACCACGCCGGAAGGTAGCCTCGGGCGGGCCAGGAAGATAAGATGAAGGGAGAGCCGCCGGCCTAGTGGGTGTATTTAAACATTAAGAGAGATGGCCAGCATCTCGCTCCTGGTTGGGTGGTGTATGGGTATTGCTGAAACGGGGAGGCTGCTGGGCTGTGGGAAGGAGGAAGGAGAGGAGAAGGGCGGGAGAAGACGAACAACAACAAACACGGAGGAGGGGAAACCGGCCAGAGAAGGGGAAACCGAAACAAGAAGAGACGAGAACCCGGGACAGAAAATGCAGAGACGATAGATGAGATACGCAGAGAGATACAAGATGAAAGGAGCAATGAACAGGGGGGAGGGGGAGCACGAGGGAGAAAAGAGATGGACTGGTCTCGAGGTTCCATTTCGAGATGCCGCCTATGAGCGGCCACCCTTTTCCTTTTGGGCCTCTTGGTCCCCCCTAATGGATCTATGGGTCCATGTCGCCTTTGTCGCCTCGCGGTATTGTAAAACTCCAGCCATGTCACTCTGCCTGCCGAGACCGAGCCAATTCAGCGACGAGACTCTGGGCAAGCACTCACACACTGCACGATAAAGACAGCCCTAGGTGCTGCTTGCTTACCTTACTTACTGTGTAGTCGACGCGGCGACGCGGCGTGCGTGCCGCGGTGGCGGAGAGGCGCTGCGCTTGCGAGCTGCCGTCGACCTGGGGGGGCTCCGATTATGGATGCGCCGTTGTGACCACACACTACGGCTGTCTGGGTTGCTGCTGCCAATGCGAGAGCTGGCCATGCCGCGCGCCCGCAGAGCGCCCTCGGGTCGAAACTGTCACTAAGGCACTGGAGAGCGCTTGGAATGCGTACTAAGGTTCCAGTAGCCCTTCCAGGTTGGGGTGCCACGACTTGGGGTACAGTACGGCTACCGAAGGCAGGAATCCGCCAGTTGCGTCATTCCCTTGATGGGGTGCACTGAGGTGGCCGGCGAGTCGAACTCCATCTATTGCTCCTGCTTATCGAGCCTCGGTGGGCAAAACCGTGCCTGCCCTGAGAAGGTGGCCACTGGCCTGGTGCAGGTGGTGTGGTGCGCTGGCAACCGGAGCTCTTCTGGAGATCTTGAGAAGGAAAGAGCGCTGGGGAAGCAAGCACGCACCCGCGCACCCGCGCACCCGCTGCTGCTCACCGATCTGGGGATGGTGGCAGTGCGGCGCCGGCAGCTTTCCCGCCGTGTCATTGGACAGGGGCGCATATTTCGAGGCACTCGAGCTTCGAAGGGGTCTAAAGACTTCCCGATACGGCCCCGATTGTGGGCGAGGCGGTTCCTGCGAGCGGCATCCGGCAAGCCGCCGACATTGCACCCAAGGTTTAAAGACTGGCCTGGCGGCTGCAAGTGCAGGGAAACTGCCCACATGCAAACGAATGGCTCAGAGCCTCAGAGGGTTGCGACCCAGGCAAGCACGCGCTTGCCCGGCGCCTAAAATTGGCATCGCTGGGCCCCGGCGCCAATCTGGCCGGGAGCGCAACGGCTGGCCTTCAGCTCGCGCTGCAGCGCTGCTTGATATGACCCTAATCACGTGGGACAGCCTGGCATCCAATCGCTGGCGGGCTCATCTCGCCGGGGCTCCACTCTATTCTCGCCCAGAAATTCGTTCAAAATCAAATCGAGGCTCTCGCCGTTGACGCACAGCCACTCAGCCACCCCGCTGAACGCCCGGCCTGAGAACCACCCCAGGTTCTGGTCTGCACGACGGAGTAATACGGAAGGAAGCAGCTGGGCAGCAAAAATACAAATTCCGGGCTGCGACGCTGACCATTTCCCTTTTATCCTGCGCTGCCATTGCAATATAGAGTATGTTCGAGGACGTAAATAGAGCTGTCGCTTCTGTCCATGGCCGCGATAATGGAACAGCTGCGACACAGCCTCCTCCATATCTCGGCTTTACTTTGGACGGTAAGATGTATTCGTAAGTCCGCGGGATTATGGAGCATAAGTATTCGTACCTATTTGTATTTTCAGGCAGAATCAATCTCTCTATTTGAGATCACGTCCAAGGGCTCACGTCGCGCACAAGCCACACATGACCGCTTGTGGTGGACACTGGACCAGTGGACATGAAATTCGGTCAGGTCGTCAGGAGGCGTTGTCTAGCCGCGGGCGGGCATAGAGTCATACACAAGCAAGCGCCCAAGCATGCGAGTAGCGCAATCTAAAACAAGATGCACTTGGGACTTGTGATAGGTACCAACTCTGAAACGCTATCCTAGCGCCAAACCATCGAACCTCTCGTCGTTCCGATCCGCTACGTTATGAATTGATTTTATGTGAAGGAAACTCGCGGCTCTCCGCCTTTTTTGGTATCTATCTGACAACTCCATCCTGACAACGAGCACCTAACAACTAGAGCTTAAAAGCTCTCAAGCGACGCCTGCCCATTGCTGCAGATTTTCGTTTCTTGTTCATATGGCAACGCCAAATCCTTTATCTGTGCTGCTTCTCAGAACAGGCTTTAAACTCCGACGACATTGGAGGCAACACTAAGCCGCCATCTCAAATCAGTCCAGTGCCTCCAGCAGACCCAGCCAAATAGTCCTTCGCGAGCTCACCTCTTACACGCATGCGCTCAAGCAAGCACGTTGGGTGCGTAATCGGGCTTCGCTCGGCTTGACTTGATCACGTCCTGCACCTTCTTCTCTGTCATATCCCAGTCGTCGGGGCTCAGCTGGATCAAATCGATTTCGTAGACATTGGCGATCTGGGTCAAGGCATTGTAGCTCTTGCGGTCGTAGACGAAGCTGATACTGACACCGACACGCCCAAACCGGCCAGTTCGGCCAATACGGTGCAGGTACGTCTCGGCGTCGGGCTCTCTGTCGCCAAAGCCCTTCATCGGGATGTCATAGTTGATCACCATGGAGACGCTAGACACATCAATGCCGCGCGCCAGCACGTTCGTGGTGATGAGCACCTTGGAGCGGCCAGAGCGGAAATCATCTAGGAGGGCGTCGCGATCGGCACCCTCGTTGCCACCGTGGAGGACCGAAACCTTGTGCCCGTCCGCCTCCATTCGCTTCTTGATCTCGTCGGCGCTCTCTCTCGTCTGTACCAGGCCGTTAGCACATTCAGCGAAACAGACATGGGGGCAGGATTCAACGTACTCTGACGAAAATAACAGAAGATCCGATGGTCATGAGACCATACAGCTTGCAGAGCACGTCGTACTTCTTCTGCTCATCCGGGCAGTCCATGTACATCTGGGATATTCCCTTGACCGTAAGTTCCTGCTGCTTCAGTTTGATCTGGTTCGCATTCGGTGCGTAACGTTCAGCGTAAGCCATGACCTTGTCTGGAAAAGTTGCAGAGAACAAGAGGATTTGCGTGGACTTCGGAACCAGACTGCTTGGCGTCAGTATCGCATCCCTGGCAATATTACTGCTCGGGCTCACTTACGTCCTGACTCGGTTGCACTGCTCACCCATGCCCTGCTGGTCGAGCATGTTATCGGCTTCATCAATGACCAGAACCTGGAGCTTCGATACATCGAACTGGCGACGGCGGATAAGGTCTATGACAGTTCCTGGAGTTCCTACCACAACGCTGCCCTTGACGCCCGTGTCGCGCGAGATGGAGCCGGGGATGGCAGCCTCGACAATGAGGTTTTCGCAAAACTGGCCGATGGTCTGGATGACACCTTGGATCTGGCGAGCAAGCTCTCGGCTGGGCGCAAGCACTAGAGCCTGTGGCTGCGTGGGCTGGGTAAGATCGACTCGCGAGAGAACCGTGAGGACAAAGGCGGCCGTCTTGCCAGTGCCAGACTGCGACTGCGCAATCATGTTGCGGGGCGGGTTGCCTATCATGAGGGGAAGGGCTTTCTCTTGGATCTTGGAGGGCTTCTTGAAGTTCATAGCGAGGAGGCCGTCATTGATTGGCTTGGGGAGACCGAGCTCTTCGAAGGAGTGGAGCGAAGAGAGGGGGCTGTCAGTGTCATTCTGCAGGTCGCTCAACTTGACTTCGACATCGTAATTCGATTCGACAAGACCTGGGACTCCTTTGGCTCCGGCCACCGGAGCCTCAGCATTGCCAGCAGCAGCAGCGGGAGGAAGGGTGATGCGACTCGCTAGGTCTGCCATTATCGGAAGTTGGAGTGGGCTGTGAGAAGGGAAAAGGCTGGGTATGCTGTCAGCTAGAGTACGGTTTATCTAGCGGGAACTTTAGAGTCTTTCAGGTAGAGACGAGGACTGGAAATGAACGAGGTTTCGAAAGCAAGCAAAAAATAGGGAAAATCCCGGAGTGGTGAGGGCCTCGATCGCAAGGCTGAAGCCCAAGCTTGGGTTACAGGAGTGGCAGAAAGGCAAAATTGGGCGATGCAGGATCGAGAATGACTTACGCGGTGGAGAGTAACGAGAGAAAAGTCGGCAATAGAGCTTTGGGTAGAGAAGGCTCGAGCCCTGTAGCAGGCTGGCAGGTAAGGGGACGATATGCGCGTCAACTTGTGGTGAAGGTTTCCGTCCCGCTGCACAAAGAAATCACGACCGTCTGCAGCGATCGTGAAAGGTAAAGCACCTCTTTGGCAGCAGCATGCCTTAGCAGCATTGAGCACGGCAGCATGGTGGGGCTGATGAGTGGCTCGCCGGACAGAGGTTTGGAGGGGTGGTTTCTGCCTTATAACCAAGGCCGTTATGCATTGAATGGCGTTCGGGTTCTAGCACCCTGGCGGGTGATGTGGACTTGCGCTCTGGGCGACTTCCTTATTTGTATTGGCTGTGGATGTAAACGTACCTATCCTTTCGTATTCAGGTGCTGATCAAGCTAGCAAGCAGAAGAAGTCATGTGAGACCAAATCACCAAATGCTCACCTAAATACCAGTACTGCAGCATATACAGAATACAGGTACATGTGCATGCAGTACATAACGTATATAAAGAATTCGTGGTACGGGATACTTGATAGTCCTGTGAGGTGTCAGGGTCTCAGCTTCTGCCATCCAATTAGCCTTGCCGCCACACTCATCGCAGGGCTTATCCAAGCTTCCAAGTTCGATTTGAATATATGTAAGATGGTAGTTCGGAAGAGGAAGGCACGCGTGTACGCCCCCCCGTCCAGGTCGTTGTGGGCTAGAAGGAACGGCGGCCAGCAAGGCCCCCGTCGGGTCTGTCCCAAGACCAAGCGGCTGGGCTGTCACCCCAGCCAGCCAGGAAACTCTCAATCATTGGAGGGGTTACACTAAACTCGCGCTGCTCCCCGCCACGAATCCCGAATTCTAGCGTCGGTCATGAGCGGAATTTGTGGGCAGCAAGACCATCCCCTCTATCCTGTTGTCCCAAGATAGCATTTTTGCAGGTTTATATTTGCTTGTACTACCGTGCATGGTTAGATATAGGAATCGCGTTGTACTGGAAAAGCAAGGGACACCATGGCCGAGGTGGATGTTGCGCCGACTTTCGGCTCTGAACTCAAGGTCTGGCCTCTTTTCGCCTCCCTCTGCCCCCTCACTCACTGCCTTGGCCCTATCGCCCGCGCGCGCCTGCTGCGTCCACGACATACAGCTATTTTCACTCGGCTGACACTAGAGATGAAATCATTAGGATGGCTTCAAACCCGCCAGCGCATGGGCCGCCAATGGCATCTCCTGGCTCGACGACATCCAGGCCTTCTACCGCGAACGGAGTGCCATCGAGAAGGAGTATAGCGCCAAGCTCAATGCGTTGGCCAAGAAGTACTTTGAGAAGAAGACCAGGAAGTCGGCAAGCCTGAGTGTTGGCGACAGCCCGACAATGACGCCCGGCTCACTGGAAAGGTACCCTCTCCCTCTTCGCTCGGCTTCGAGGCTGGCGGGCCGTGGCCGCTGCGCTGCTGACATGCGCCCTCTCTTAGTGCCTCCCTCACGACGTGGACAACGCTCCTCACGACGCTAGAAGCGCGAGCGGACGAGCACGAGCGTTACGGCAACGACCTGGTCACCAAGGTGGCCGAGCCGCTCAAGCAGATTGCCACGCGCTTCGAGGACGTGCGCAAGCGCCATGCCGAATACGCCGAGAAGCTCGAGAAGGAACGGGAATCGTCGTACGCCGACCTGCGCAAGGTGAAGGCCAAGTATGATGCGACGTGCCAGGAGGTCGAGAGCAAGCGCAAGAAGACCGAGTCTGCCTTTGACAAGGCCAAGGCACAGAGCGCGTTCCAGCAGCAGACTCTCGAAATGAACAACATGAAAAACACGTATATAATCGCCGTCAATGTGACCAACAAGCACAAGGAGAAGTACTATCATGAATATCTGCCCGAGGTCATGGACAGCCTCCAGGACCTCTCGGAATTCCGCACACTCAGACTGAACGGGCTGTGGTCCCTAGCTGCCCAGCTCGAGGGCACCCTGCTTCAGCAGAGCACAGGCCAGGTCGAGCGCTTGTCGCAGGAGATCACCCGGAACCAGCCCCATCTGGACTCGATGATGTACATCACGCACAACATGGGCGGTTTCCAAGAGCCTCCTGACAAAGTGTTCGAGCCGAGCCCGGTGTGGCACGACGACGATGCGATGGTGGTGGACGAGCCAGCCAAGATCTTCCTGCGGAACGTGCTCAACAAGTCCAAGAGCCAGCTCGGAGACTTGCGGCGCGAAGTCGACCGGAAGAGGCGAGAGGTGGAGTCAATGAAGCGCGTGAAACAGAAGATCCGGGACGGGACAGAGAACAAGGATGAAATTGCGGTGGTGTCGCAAGTGTTCGCGATGCAGGAAGAGCTGCACCAGGTGGACCGGAAGCGCCTGACATCGGAGGTCGAGACGTCGACCATCACGTCGGCCGTGGGCGATGTTACGCTTGGCGCCAAAAGCCACAACTTCAAGTCGCAGACGTTCAAGATCCCAACAAACTGTGACTTGTGCGGCGAGAGAATATGGGGTCTGTCGGCAAAGGGGTTTGACTGCCGCGATTGTGGGTATACGTGCCACAGCAAATGTGAGATGAAGGTGCCGGCCGAATGTCCGGGCGAACAGTCGAAGGAGGAGCGAAAGAAGTTGAAACAAGAGCGCCAGGAGGCGGCAAACGCCCTGCTCAAGCCGGCCGGGACCCCTGACCATGCCGCCGAGCTGCCCAACCTTAGTCGGACCAATACGATGAATTCGCTGAGCTCTGGATACGCAGCGAGCGCGCAGAGGTCCATGACGGGACCTCTATCGCCCGCCGAGGACACGACGCCGGAGCTGCCGGCGGCACCGATTTCTCGGCCAACGCCCGCAAGCACACTGACGGCGAGCACGCTTCGCAAGAACCGCGTCGTAGCTCCTCCGCCCTCCGAGTACATTAGTGAGTTGCCGGGTAGCGCTCCCAACGGTCCGCCGGTATCTCGGACGTCGGAGCAGAAGGGGAAAATGATGTATACTTTTGAAGCCGGCGGGGACGGCGAGGTATCTGTGCCAGAGGGGCGCGAGGTTGTTGTTTTAGAACCCGACAGTGAGCACCCCCTCTATGTTTCTGTATAGCGCCTGCTGACCATGACGCGCACTGTAGCTGGATCCGGCTGGGTCAAAGTCCGGGCTGGCTACAAAGAGGGCCTAGTGCCCGCGTCTTATATCGAGGTGTCGGCGCCCTCGGCCATCGCGCCCCAGCACACGGGGCAGTCGGCGCGCCCGGCGTCGACGTACTCCAACAGCGGGTCGTCGATCGGCACCACGGCGCCGGCCAAGAAGAAGGGCCCCGCGGTGGCGCCGAGACGGGGGGCCAAAAAGCTGAGATATGCCGAGGCCCTGTACGATTACACGGCGCAGAGCGACTCAGAGCACAGCATGGCCGAGGGCGAGCGCTTCGTCCTCATCAAGGAGGACCAGGGCGACGGCTGGGCCGATGTCGAAAAGGGCGGCGTCACCAAAAGCGTGCCGGCGAGCTATATACAAGTTGTCTAGCATATGTATGTCGTGGGTTGGTCGGCTGCATTGTAGGGTCTGGTGTATATACGCGTCCCGCCCATGTTGAGAGGGTGATGCTTAAAACGGTAGCTCCTATCGAGTCTACAATATTTGGCTATCAACTCTATGCAGCCCTGCTGCTGTTTACGTTTAAACGTGTATTCTGACTTGGTCCTAAGAGGATTCATTATGTCAAGTTGATATCCACACTTGAACGGCGCAGATATGTTTTTATTCTTATTTTCTCTACGGGCAGAAATAGATTGGGTAGATGGATGGATGGATGAAATAAGGAGGGCGTAAGATATCGTCATCGAACCTAGAGAAGCCGGCTAGCCTATCACTTAAGATACCTATATATGCATGACTAGGTATGCCGTACGCAATAAACTCTTGTGCGTTTGGTTTTTTAGACAAAAGGAGTAACAACTAAAACAGTGGAAAGGAAGAGAAAACCGAAGAGAGATACCAAGAAAAGGACATAAATCAGATCTTGAAGCGAAACGGGTTGACGGGCTCACCGGGGCGCGAGTTGATGGCGCCGTCGACAAAGACGCCGGCGGCGAGCTTGCGGTTGAGGCCGACGAGAATGAAGCGCATGACGGTGGCAGCGCACACGGCGATGGCGGCCGTGACGCAGTTGACGACCATGGCCGTCGTGTAGTGAGGGCCGGCGCTGGTCGGGTACAGGTAGCTGGCGTAGATGCTGCTGCAGTTGCTGACGGCGTTGATGAAGGCCAAGGCGGCGGCGCGCTTGGCCGGCGGCCGCGGCATGGTGTTGCTAATCCACGCCAGCGCGACCACGAAGCCCGAGTAGACGGACGGGACCTGTTTTGCGTGGTGAGACAGGGTTAGTGTCGAGAGATGGCAAAAGGGGAGGGGGGAAGACGGACCATCAGCATCATGCTAAAGTAGCGCGGCCCCGTCGCCGTCGTGGTGGCGGCGATGATGTAGGCAATGATGGCTACCCACATAGGAATAGCAATGTGCCAGTAGCGCTCGCCGGTGCGGTCAGCATGGGCGGCGTTGGCGTACGTCACGATGACGGCCAGCACGTACGGCGGCGTGGTCAGCAGCAGCGACACAACGGAGCTGTAGCCGATGGTGTTGACCACAGTCGGAAAGAAGTTGGTCACGGTGCCGCTGGCCACGATGCAAAACAGGAGCAGCATCTGTCGGTGGTCGTGTGCCATTCAGTTAGCAACTATAGCAAGTAGATTGGTTGAAACAACGGGCGAGAAGAGAACGTACCAGCACATAGATCTTAGGGTCTAGGAAGGCCAGCTTGGCGCCCTGCCAGAAGGTCTGGTCCGAGCTGCCAGTCCAGTCGTCCTCGCCAATGTCTTCATCAAGCCGCCTGGAGGGAGAGAGGGCTCGTGTCAGCACGCACATCTAAGAAAAAGACAGGCCGGTGGCAGACATACCAAACGGCGAGAATACGCTCCTCCTCAGTTAGCCACGTCGTGGTGCGCGGGAAGTTGGGCAGAACAAAAAACGCGCCAAAGGCGATGAAGACAGTGGCGACACCCTCGATGATGAACAGCCACTGCCAGGCGCCGAGGCCGCGCGTGCCGTCCATGCCCCACGTCACGCCGGCCGAGATGAAGCCCGAGAAGGCGCCCGAGATGAGTGCGCCCGAGTACAGCACAGCCGTGCGGAACCCGAGCTCGGCGCGCGTGTACCAGCAAGACAGATAGTAGAGGCATCCCGGGCTGTGCCGTCGTGTTAGTCGCGGGGCCGAGTGCAGCTCGAGATTCAACAGAAAGACACTCACAAATACGCTGCTTCGACAAAACCCAAAAAGAAGCGGTTTGCCAGCAGACCGCCGGCCGTCGTACACGCCGCGGTTGCTGCCGAGATCATGCCCCAGACGATCATCTGCCGCGCGGCGTCGGGTTCATGTCAGCACAGCTGTCCCTCCCCTTTCCGAGGCCCCCTTTCGCAGCACAACACCAGGCCAAGTAGATATTGTATCTACTTACGCATGCGGGGAGGTAGATGGCCGGCTTGCCGATCTTGTTCAGGAAGAGATTCGACGGGATCTGCATGAGCAGATACCTGTAGGCCGTAGGAACAACGACGAGCAAGAGTTAGCATGGGCCTTATAACCCCCCTTTTCCCTTCCTTCTCCCTCTTGCACTTTTCTCTTCTTGGTAGACAGAAGCAAGCAGCAGAGATGCGAGTCAGGGGCCTTATGTCTGATACGTACCCAACAAAGAGGATGCTGACAGCCGTCTGGAACTCGACCGACGACAGATGGAGATCTCGCTCCAGGCCGGCCAGTCTGGCTGCGGCAATGTTGTTTCTGTGCCCAGGCCGCTGTGTTAGTTAAGGTCCATGTATGCCTGGTCTAGTTTCTCCTTTCCCCGAGCCCGAACACACACACACACACACACATCTATACTATACCCTATCCACATCTCATCCTCCCCAAAGACAACAAGCCGACTCTCGCAACTCTAGCCCCTTTTTTCTCTTTCCCTTTCCCCCCTTTCAACAAACACATGGAGAGAAGGAAAATGCTCACCGGTCAATGTAGTTTAGGATGTACATGACAATAATGGCAGGCAGCAAACGCGTGTCAATCTTGCGCTTGAGCTGCTTCTCGAGCTCGGCGCGGCGCTCGGGCGCCAGGCTGCGCACAAACTCAGGGGCCTCGAGCAAGCGGCCGCGGAGCACGACGGCGTTGGCAGCCTTGGCGTCGGCCGTGTTGGCGCCGGCAGCAGCAGCGGCAGCAGCAGTGGCATTCTCGACGTTGGTGGCCGTGACCTTCTCGTCGGTTGCGCTAGCTGCGGGCGACGACTCGTCGTAGTTTGGCAGCAGCTGCTGCTGCTGCTTCTCGACGTCGTCGTCGCTGCTCGGGACGGCGCCGGCCCTGGGGTTCACCACGACGGGGGCCATGGTATGACGATACGGCGGGGGGTGTAGGGGCGCGTTATTCCCTTTCTCCCTTATGGAAATATTTCTTAGAGAAAATATTGCTCGACGCGTTTACGGCCGAGGTTTGTCTTTTTTAACGGGACGGTGAGGAGGGGCAGAGGTAAATGTAATAACAACAAAACGGGCAAGACAGGGCAGGGCGGGTAGAGAGAGACGGGAGCGTGTGCCGGTCTCACGCAGGTAAGGCACCCAGCTAGCTGGCTACCGTGTAAGCAAGGTACTGCACCTTAGCCACTTACCGCGCCTGCCGTGCCTATACCTACGGTGTCTACTTTACGTCCAGCTGGTGGATGGGAAGGGGGGAGAGAGAACAGAAGGAAAAGAGGGGAGGGTGGTGAGCGAGAGTGTTCTTGGAACCATGCGAGGACCGGCTGGACGGACTACGGGGAAAGGGCAAATTCATCAACAGCCCCCCCTCCCTCTCCCTTTCCCCAGTCCTCCCCCCTCGAACTGGGACGGCTTTTCATTCGTGCCAAAGTGCCCGAGCTAAGGGTGTGTGCAATATACGTTTGAATTGAGCCCGGGGTAGCTAGCCTAGCTAGAGTAGCTACCTGAGGTAGCGAGGTGGGCGAGTCCCAAGGTCGAAATCTAGAGCGGCGGAGTAGGTGGTAATTGCCACGGTGGGCAGCAGCAGCAGCAGTAGTAGTAGCCGCATCCCACCCAGGCTCTCCATATCGCCTCATGGGAGCGTAAATTCCATAGTACGTCGTCATACCTTATCAGGCAAGGATGGTAAAGTAGAGAGTGGTGCTTGGGCGGATTGGGTCCCGGGGATGGTGAAGACATGCATCCGACCTTGTGTGTAAAACCCTGGTCGTCGTGGAGTACGACAGGCCGGGCAACACAAGCTGGTTTGCTGCTGCTGCTAGATACCTTGGATAGAGAGAGAAGACAAGGAGCCCGAGACAGAGTTAGATGGAAGGACGGACGGGTGGGACGGCGGGCGGGCGGGCCATACCTATTACTCCTACGGGCACCCGAAGACACAGCAAAAAAAAACATGATATATGATACTACCAGATGATAAGTAGTTGATGGGTAGGAAGGAATGGCAGGCTGCGAGGCAAGGGGCGTTTGCGTGGAGGGCAGTCTCTCGCGGGGTAATAGGTCAACTTCAATCCTACGAAAGGCAAGAGGTATAGTCCCACGTCCGTAATAGTCCCGGGCCGTAGCCTGCCATTGGCTGCGGGTGAATGAACTTGGCCCTTGCGCTGCTTTGGCAGAATGGGCGGATGTGGGAATGGGGAAGGAACCGACCTATCTACCACCTAACCTGGCGGGCAGACAAGCAAGCAAACATGGGGAAAGAGCTACCGACTTGACCCAATATCCATCAATGCTTTGTTCACGCCTGGCTTCCACTTGGTTGCCCAGCTTGGGCGGCGCAGTTGGCAGCCCCGAAAACACTATGAGTAGCCTAGTTGTGTTTTCCCCTAGATGTAATGTTTCGCTACTTGGTGAACAGGCCGTTTCCGTGTTAGTTTTACCGGCTGCCCTGTAATGTTTGCTGATGGGAGCGAATGATGACTGCGCCGATGGTGGCTTGCTTGGCATCTCACTCCGGCAGTGGGAAGGTGCGCCTCTAAAAGCTTAGTACCGACGTCGGCCGTCGACTCCGACCGACTCTGGGCCCCGTTCTTGGCGGATAGGTAATCTGCAGCTCTCAAGACATCCATGAAGAGGGAGAACTGCAAACCGAGCAGCGACTCGCTCGGGACCGAGTATCTTGGCGACTGAGGCAAGTACTGTAGACAAAACCCACCACCACCACCCAATGTTTGCCGTCCGTCGGATTTTTTTTGTATAGGGCGGAAGAAAGCGAAGTCCAGGTCTTGAACCATCCATAGGTGATAATTACTACAGACCCCCGAGAGTTGTCTGTTACATCCCCGATAGCAAACTGAGAACTCGGGCCAGCCACTTGCACAGGATGTGGACGTGTACAATAATACCACTCACCAGCTACATGGCCCCCAAGTCATGAGAGACGGCGTCCAACACCTACGGCGTGGATTCGGCTGCATTGCAGAATTCTATAATCCCTATCGTCTCAATAAATACTTCATATAGAAACCCTTTCTTCCCGCCTGGTTTATTACATGTACTAGAGAAACACCGAAGCCAGACTCGGCCAAGCCCAGTCTTTCTGCGAGAGAAGCAGAAGGGCAAACACCTTGATCGCCGTCAACGCTGTTTTCCCTCTCACGTCTCCCTTCTTTCTGCGCCACTGGAAATATAGATAGGTGGGAGGGCCACCTCGGCCACCGCCGCGCCAATGCACCGACCGATATATATTCATACATACAGACCAAAACAAAACGGCAAACGCTCGCATACCCCGTCATGACGTGTAATGATTATAGGCGTTCGTTGTATTTCATGGTTGCTCTCCGCATCAATGCGTAATCGTCCTCACCGCCTGCAGCATGATGCCAAACATCAGACCCCTGGCCACCTCCTCGACCTGCAGGCAGTCAAAGAGCCGACCCAGAGCATCAGAAGTGGCCGCCTGGCCCATGACTCCCATTAGCGCCGCCGGCACACCGCTCTCGATCAGCAGCTTCCTTGCTTTGACCCGTAGCTTCTCCTTATCGTCGCTGCTCATTTCCGCCGGCCATGCAGCCCGCTCTTGCTCCGTCGGCAGCACGTTCTCCCGGAGCTTCTTGAAGTGCGCCGCGAGGGCGCTGTCCGCCACGTTGGCATCGATAACCGACGACTGGATCAGATTCTGGATCGAGAGGAGCGAAGGATTCCCCGGCCGCAGCAGAAACGACTTGGCTGCCGCAAGCAGAGTGCGTCGGATGTTCCATGCCGACGACAGAGTGTACAACTCGTTGATAACGGCGAAGAGAAGCTCGACGGCCACTCGCGTCTCCTGCTCCGACAGCCTGGAGAATTGCTTGGCAGACCTTGATTGGGCGCCGTTGTTGCGTTGCCCGCTGAGGGCCGGCATCGTGAGCGAGCGCGAGTGCGACTGAAATTCGTGCGATCTGCCAAGGGCCGGGCTGGTGGGGGACTGGTAGTCGTCGGGCATCGTGTCCGGCGGCGGCGGAAGCCTGAACCCCTCCAGGCTTAGAGCCGAAGGTGATCGGGCCGGCGCCAAGCTTGACGCCCGGCTATGTTCGCGACTGTTCCTGGCCGAGTTTCGTGACAGGCGCACGCTCTCAGTCTCAGCCTCGCCGCGGGAATCGTAGCTGGGACGACGCTCCATGGGCGCGATTTTGGTAGGCTGCATGGCGACGACCGACGACTGCTGACTGTCCATGCTGTCTCGTGCTCTGCGGGACCCATTGATGGATGTGGTGCTGTCCGCCCGTGGCAGGGTCGACATGGAGAGGCGACTAGCCGCAGTCACGTCTTGCAAGGTTGAGGGCGTTGGCGGAAGAGCGACGACAGAGGCGGGTGCCTTGCGCGGGACTAGGCCAATGTTCCCCAGCATGCCCGTTACGCCGCCGACGACGGCTTTCGAGCCTTCCATGGGGGCGCTCGTCAGCACGTCAAAGACATTCTTGCCGAGCTTCTCAATTGCCTGGAACCCCATTTTCGAACCGGCCGGCATGTTGGCTTGGTCCCTTTCCAAAAACCGTTTCATCCCCTCGCTTTCTGCTAGGCTCTGGTACCAACACGCGTCCCGGACATATCGTTCCAGCTCGCCTCGCAGAGACGACCGCGTGTGGACTTTCCACGAGGGCAGCGCGTTATGCTGCTCTGTGAAGGCGCTGGCTCCGGTGATGGCAGCGATTCGTCTTAGCACCTCGTGGAGCCGCTCAAAGTCCGTGTACTTCCTGATAATCATCCACCCCGGGTAGTCCGACGTTGCCGGCTCGATCTGCACTAGGTAGTCCCAGGTAGGCCTTGCTTTCATCCGTCCCTTGTCGCCTGGCTCGTCCAGAACGGTGATTGTCGCATTGTGCAGAGTCAGTGGGGCCGGCTTGCGAGGCCCGTCCGTAACGCTCTCGGCTTCTTCCCGCAAGGGGGGGGCGATTTGACTAAAATGCGTAAACTGAGCTGTCGTATTGTGCGTTGGTGATGGCTCTTGACTGGACGTAGTCATGGGCGAATGCGGCGTTAATGGCGTGTGGATAATGTCGTTCCCGCTAGATGCTGAATCGCTAGATCTCGCCTCCTTGGCAAAATCCCTAGGCGAGAGCTCGAGGGAATGCTGCTCTCTGCGAGCGGCTATGTGCTTTTCGAGAGACTCGTTTTGGATGTCCAACTCGTCCGCGTTGCGCTTGAATGCGTCGGCAAGCCTCTCCGAAGCCTCGGCTGCGCTCTTTGAATCTCTAGATTCCTGATGCACCGACCCGACACTGACAGGGATCGCCCCAGAAGAAGTCTGCGAGCCGGTTCGTCGTGCATCTTCTTTCTCAATCATCTGGTTGAGCCGCTTGACCTCTTCCATGGCCATTTCCATTTCTTCTTCGGCTTTGCTAAGCTTCTTCTTATGCACCATGGACTCCTTGCGACGCGCTTTCTCCATCTCAAAGGAGTTCCTATTTCCCTTGGTAAGGCCGATATTACCCACGTTGCCGTCTATATCGGCAAAGGTAATATCTGTCGACGGCCGCGTTTGCATTCCCTCGTCGATAACTTGACTAAAGTCGGGCTCCCCTGCCTCTAGCAGGTGAACTATCCACGAGTTGATCCACTCGGGCTTTGAACATGTCTGGAGCGTCTTTTCTAGAACGACCCCGGCCAGAATCTCTCTCAAAAAGACCTTGGCGGGATCGCATTCGTACGTTGTTTTATCCAAGAAACCCAGTATATCTTCGGCAACCATTCTAAACTTGCCGGCCTGTTGCCTCTCGTTCAGAAGGTTGGACAGGTTCGAGTCGGGATGCGCAACCAGGTAGTTGTACACGGCGTCTGACGCTGGCAGCTTGGACTCCGAGGGCAATTCAGAAAAGACATTCGACAGCTCGGAGAAGAAGACGATGACGATGGAAGACGAATTGGTAAGAAAGTCCAAGAAGGCGTCTACCGGCCGCTTCCTACTCAGGTGGCCGGCGACGGTTGAGATAAACGAGGTGAGAGTTTTGCGGCAAGCCAAGGGGAAGAACTTGTCCGAGGGCACAATCGGCGCATACCACCACTTGATGTAGTCGCGAACAACGGCGTCGACAAGCCCGTCCAGCGCCTCGCGGGTCTCAGGCTCGAATTCGTCAAAGGCGCGGTCCCACATCTCTTGCTGGTCGTCTGCGCCCAGAGCGCCCGGCGACGCCGTCCCCTGGCCCTTTCTCGCATCGAGCAGTCTCGCCAGAATATCAATACCCCTCTCCCCCTGAACGATACGGGAAACCTCGGCGTTCCGCTGCTCCCACTGCACGAACAACAATATGCCTCCGAATGCGCCGATCAAGACAAGGCCAATCTGGCCGAGTATGAAGTAAGTGACGGCCGCAAGGGCCGCAGCGACTCCCCCCAGAGTACCGGGGGTGGCAGTCGCAAGGAATTGGAAGATCTTGGCCTTGAAATCCTCCTCCTCTTGCGGGCTCGGGAGGGCCGGACTGTGGCTGACTAGTTCCGGTTTCGCAATTGGCTCGGCCGCGTCGGCGTCTGTTGTGCGCTTTTCTTCCATGTTGTCGGGTGTGGCGCCCAGAGTATGTGCATCTTCTTGGGTCATAAATGCGCAAGCGCTGTCTAGATAATCGCAGCCGTAATTGGGAAGGTGGATGTTGTATAATGGCGTTTGTCTCGGTGGTTTCGGTTGGTCTGTCGAGCAAACGACAGCCGGCGTTGGAACAAACGGGAGCCGCCCCGGATCGGACTACCTGGGTCAATCCAACGGCCTGTGAACGGTGTATCGGAATTGAGCGGGGGAGGACGCCGCTTTTTCGTTGGCTTTCGGCAAGACGGGTGTCAAGTGAGACCCGGGTCGTAGCGATAGAAATTGGCAGCAGAAAAGGAAGCAAGAGGCTGATGATGTGTTCGGTGTTTCGAGAAGTCCCCGGATCGCCAAACAGCCCTATTTTTAAGGGGCGTCCTTCAGCACTTCCGAACCCCTGGTCGGTTTTGCTCTCTTAATTGCTTGGCACCCATCTGACATCTCAAACACGGGCTGTCTAGCCGTTTCCAACCAGCTGGCCCGTGCAGGAGTAAATTACGTGACGATCGACAGATTGACTAGGTCACGTGCACTCGCGTTGAGAATTGGCGGAAGGTTCGACCCAACGCCACAGCTAGCCATTGTCGCGTCCAATACAGCTGTACCTGGTATCCATCAAGGTGCACTTCCTTATGCCAGGCGCACACTTAATTTCTTCCTGGCGTGGCACCTTTCATTCCCTCCCAAAATCGAGCCATAAAACCAACAACTTAGAGTAGTTCTACCAATATTGGAACACACATTCCAGTCACGTGAACCACCTGAGAAGCGCTCACTCGACCTTTCACACCTTTCTCAGTCTAACTTTCATCTTTTATCTCAAGTCTCGTCATCCATACCAGTTGCGCGCCATGCCTCCCAAAAAGCGGCAGATTGAGTACGAGAGCGAGAAAGAGAGGCCCCAGGTCAAGAAGTCCAAGGGCGCAAACAGCAAAGCCGCCGCCAAAGGGCAGCCGCTAGGAAAAGGTTCCGACGCCGAAGGCAATACCTACTGGGAGGTCAGATTTCCCTTCGGTCTTGTCATTGCATAAACCGCCCGCCGCTGAGACTCTGCGAATTTCTCTAGATTGCCAAGAACCGGCGCATTGGCTCGTCGACTTTCAAGGGCAACACGTTGATTAACATTCGCGAGTACTACACCGACGCTAACGGCGAGGCGAAGCCTGGCAAGAAGGTAAGCCGTCCGCCCCATCTACCGCTATCTCCGGTCGCGTAGCATGTCGCTGCACATTGCGTGCAAGTGTTTGGCTACTAACCGCTCGCTCCCTTTATGTGCAGGGCATTTCTCTTTCTCTGGAGCAGTACAACAACCTCCTCAGCATCATCCCGGAGCTCAACGCTAGCCTTCTCTCAAATGGCCTTGCCATTGTCAGTCAGGAGACAACCTCTGCAGCTCCGGCGGCGGCGGCCCCAGCCAAAAAGCCAACAGCCAAGAGCGCCAAGAAGAAAAAGGCTAACATCGAGGAGACGAGCGACGAAGAAGTCGACGAGGAGGAGGACTAGTCAGAAGCAGCTGTGATTGCTGGGTTCCATGGACTTGGAATGGAAAATTGAGAGCTTCGCATTTCCGGATTGAGGCATTCTTGAGCTGTTTCATTTTGCTTGTTCTTTTACTCCTCGGCAGGATGGTGGTTAGGGTCTACGGGTCACGAGGTAACGAACGATTGTACAATAATGGTTGGCGCTTTCACTTGCACATATTGCCTAGAATTGGGGCCATAAATGTAGTCTTCATAAGCAACTTGTGAGGGGTGTATTCACTTCAGGAGGTGTCCATATGAGACCGTTCAACATGATAGCAGCAATATGTTATAATTGTCGGACTACCAGGACGGTCCACTCGCTCCACTCGGCTGCGTCGGAGCTATCGGCCCTCAAGTGCGTGGTCCAGTGAATCGCCGTGAACTAGTCGCAGGATTCCCAGAGAGGCAGGAGGAAGAGCGAGTGTGGAGGTTGTAGTGCTATAGCACTGAGCCGACTCAATTGGGTGAAGGATTCAAAATGTCGCAGTGCAACTTCGCCAGACTGACTCACGGTCTTGTACGACCAGCGTGTAAGAGCGTATAGAACAAATATCTTGGCTCACTCCTCGCAAGGTCGACGTCTTGATCTGCTATTGATATTCATTTTTCTACCGGTTCTAGTTCCTCGCCTTTCAGGTTATTACCGTTTCAGTAAGTTGTGTACCCAACTCCACGCAGGCTATCAAGAAGCCACACTGACATGCAGTCTGGCAGGCCAGCAAGCGCATCTCTTGGAAGAGGCGAAACATGGTGAAGGAAACAGAAAAAGGGCAAGTTTCGGGCACGGCGGCGTCTTTTGCGCACGTCTGGCAGAGCGAGCGGCTCGTGTTCCGGGCAATTGAAGACGACAACGAGGACAAGACGTTCCTCTGGAAACACATTGACAACGACCCCGTCATCGCGACGCTCGGCTTCGGGCGCCTCTGCGCGCCGTCGACTAAGAGCTCGCTGGCGCAGTCGGTGAACTCCAACAGCATACTGAGGGTGTGTTTCTGTCTGAAGCCCGCCGCCGAGGATGCGGCGGCGGCAGCAGACCAGAGGCTTGCGCCCATAGGCATCCTCAACATGTGGCCCAAGTACCACGCGCACAACCGCGGCGGCGAGATCTCCGTTAGCGTGTCGGCGCCGTTCCGCGGCAAGGGCTACGGCGGCGAGGCCATCAACTGGGCGCTCGATTGGGGCTTCCAGCGCGGTAACCTGCACTGCATCAGCCTCGCGGCGTTTGACTTCAACCCAGGCGCCCTCGCGCTGTACCGCAAGCTCGGCTTCGTCGAGGAGGGCCGCAACCGCGACGCCGTCTACTTTGAGCGCAAGTGGCACGACATCATCTTGTTCAGCATTTTGGAGGGCGAGTGGGAGCAGCTCAGGGCCCTTGGCAAAGACGGGGGCAGTCGGTAGCGGACTTAGCCGGCAAGCTCCGAGCCGGAGCGGCCGACTGCGAGTCCATGACTCGGCATTTTTATATCATTAATAGTTTTGTAGAAAAATATATCAACTCCTCTGGCCGCGTTGGACCAGATTTATAGTCCAAAGACAACAGATGAAAAAGACTCAAACGTCGCTGCAGATCAGCGATGCCAAGATCAATTGCCCACCCCTAAAAGCGGCATTTGGCTGATCGGTGATCATGCCCGACGGCTAGGGAGGTGGGGTAAGGACATGTCACTGGACCCGATCGGCAGCCGGGCCCTTGGACATGCCCCGCCGACGGCCGGAACCTGGGACGAACAATGGCATCCAACGGCGATATAAAAGCGACTCGGTCCATGGGATCGAAGGGAGTATTTCTGGCAACCCTTTTCTTCTTCTTCCGTCCTGCAGCTTGTACTCGCAATTTTTCATCTTTTTTTTCTTTTTCTTTTTTTATTAGGTATCCATTACAGAATTTGGGGGATATCAGACAAAGAGGGCACAAGGCAACAGCCCCACACTCACACCACCACATCTAGATACACTTTCCTCGTGTGTCACGAAGTCTAATCCGGGAAGGCACGAGGTGGAAAGAATTGCGCCTACCTAGAGTGAGACAGTGGAGGCTCCTTGCACAATGGGCTCAGCCGGTGCAGAAAATGACCGGGGCATCAGGATTGCCATTGACCGTGGCGGCACCTTTACCGACTGCGTGGGCAACTTCAACGGCGAGGATGTCGTCATCAAGCTGCTCTCCGAGGACCCGGCCAACTACAGCGATGCGCCGCTCGAGGGCATCCGCCGCATCATGTCGCACTTTCTGCAGCGCGACATTCCGCGCGGCGAGCCCCTCGACACGGCCCAGATCGACTCGATCCGCATGGGCACCACCGTCGCCACCAATGCCCTGCTCGAGCGCAAGGGCGAGACCATCGCCCTCGTCGTCACCAAGGGCTTCAAGGACTGCCTCGTCATCGGCAACCAGTCGCGCCCCGACATCTTCGACCTGGCCATCAAGAAGCCCCAGGTCCTCTACTCGGCCGTCGTCGAGATCAACGAGCGAGTCACCCTCGAGGACTATGCCGAGGATCCCGAGCGCCACCTCACAAAGTCCGACGCCCGCGCCGGCACCGCCGAGGCCAGGACTGCCGACATAGTCATGGGCTTGTCGGGCGAGGCTGTACGCATTCTACAGCGACCCCAGCGAGACACGATCCGCAGCCAGCTGCAGCAGATATTCGACAGTGGCATCAAGAGCATAGCCGTCTGTCTGATGCACGCGTACACGTTCCCGGACCACGAAGCCCTCGTCGGCGAGGTCGCCAGGGAGATTGGGTTTGGCCACGTCTCGCTCAGCCACGAGCTGATGCCCATGATTAAGCTGGTTTCACGGGCCACTTCTGTGTGCGCCGATGCGTACCTGACCCCCACCATCAAAAAGTACATCTCCGGCTTTCAGCAGGGCTTCGAGGGCGGCCTGGGATCTAAGAGTGTGAAGCAGAAGGGCGCCCGCGGTGCTCGCTGCGAGTTCATGCAGAGCGACGGCGGCCTGGTGGATGTCGAAAAGTTCACGGGCCTAAAAGCCATCCTGTCGGGTCCGGCAGGCGGCGTCGTCGGCTATGCCACCACATCTTACGATGCGAACACCAGAATCCCCGTCATCGGCTTCGACATGGGCGGCACCAGCACCGACGTCTCGCGCTACGGCGAAGGCCGATATGACCACACTTTTGAGACCACCACAGCGGGCGTCACGATACAATCTCCCCAGCTAGATATCAACACGGTTGCCGCAGGCGGCGGGTCGATGCTGTTTTTCCGAAACGGGCTCTTTGTGGTCGGCCCGGACTCGGCCGGCGCTCACCCCGGGCCAGCCTGCTATAGAAAGGGGGGCCCTGCCACCGTTACCGATGCAAACTTGTATCTGGGGCGGCTGCTGCCCGAGTTCTTTCCAAAGATCTTTGGCAAGAATGAAGACGAGGGCCTGGATCCGGAAGCTAGCAAGCGGGCGCTCCAGGAACTGGCAGATCAGATCAACAAGGAGACGGGAAAGCAGATGGACGTCGATGAAGTCGCCTACGGATTCCTCACTGTGGCAAACGAGGCCATGACACGGCCTATCCGAAGCATTACAGAGGCCAAGGGGCACGACTCGTCCAAGCACCGCCTGGCGACGTTTGGAGGTGCAGGCGGCCAGCACGCTGTGGCCATTGCCGAGGCTCTAGGCATCAAGCAGATTCTCATCCACCGATACTCGTCCGTCCTTTCCGCCTACGGCATGGCCCTAGCCGATGTGGTGGACGAAAGGCAGGAACCGGATTCCAAGATCTGGAAGGACGAGGGCGACGCAGTGGGCGAGCTCAAGACTAAGATGGGTGCACTCAAGGACAAGTCTCGCCACACCCTGAGAGACCAGGGCTTCGAGGACAGTGAGATTGTGTTTGAGGAGTACCTGAACATGAGATACCGCGGCACCGAGTCTGCTCTCATGATCATCAAACCCAGCAAGGAAGGTGCCGACGACTGGAGTTTTGGGAAGGCGTTTGTGGAGCACCACCGCTATGAATTCGGCTTCACACTGGACGACAGGGACATTATTGTCGATGATGTTCGGGTCCGGGGTATTGGCAAGAGTTTCCGATACAGTGAGAAGACTGTAGACGAGCAACTAAAAACTGTTAGTCGACATGAAGTGTCGGCCGAGAAGCAGCACTCTGAGGCAAAGGTCTTCTTCCAAGGCGGCCGCCTAGACACCCCAATCTACAAGCTTGGGGATCTTGCGGTCGGGACTTCTATCAAAGGTCCCGCTATGTTAGCAGATGGCACTCAGACCATTGTCGTTACCCCTGGATCCACCGCGTTGATACTTGAAACGCACGTCGTCATTGACATACAGAACACAGAGGGGGAGAAGGACACGTACGAAACCATTCTTGGCTAGGATTTCTACCGAGCTCAGCTAACATTTGACAGATCCTCGACAGCGACAGGCGAGTATGAGGTGGATCCTATCAAGCTCAGCATCTTCGGCCACAGGTTCATGGCCATTGCCGAGCAAATGGGCAGGGCGCTCCAGAAGACGAGTGTAAGCACAAACGTGAAAGAGCGGCTCGACTTTTCGTGCGCCATCTTCGACGCCACTGGCGGTCTGGTGGCCAATGCTCCTCATTTACCAGTACATCTTGGTACGTCTTTACACAGCATTATCTGCTCTACAAACGATGTCTAATCGGTCCTCGCCAGGTTCCATGTCGACTTGTGTTCGACGCCAGGCAGAGATCTGGAGGGGCAAGTTGAGCAAAGGAGATGTCATCATCTCGAACCATCCATCATACGGCGGGACGCATCTGCCGGATATCACCCTGCTGATGCCTGCATTTAACGAGGCTGGAGACAAGATCCTCTTCTATGCGGCGTCGCGAGCACATCACGCAGACATTGGTGGCATCACAGCCGGTAGCATGCCGCCGCACTCTCGCGAACTTTACCAAGAGGGTGCGGCGATCAAGAGTGAAAAGTTGGTCAGCGAGGGTAAATTCAACGAGCAGAGGGTAGTCGAGCTTCTGTACAAGGAGCCGGCGCAGTATCCGGGCTGCAGCGGGACTAGATGCTTGGCGGATAACATTAACGACCTTCGGGCGCAGGTTTCGGCCAACCAGAAGGGTATCTCGCTCATCGAGACACTCATCGACGAGTACGGCGAGGACACGGTCCAGTTCTACATGGTGGCAATCCAGAACAACGCCGAGCTGCAGGTTCGGAGCCTGCTCAAGACGGTATCCAAGCGGTTCGAGGGCAAGGAACTCTCGGCGGTCGACTTTATGGACGACGGCAGCCCGATCCGTCTCAAGATCACCATTGACGCCGAGAAGGGCGAGGCCGTCTTCGACTTTGAGGGCACCGGCCCGGAGGTCTACGGCAACATCAATGCCCCTGAAGCCGTGTCGTATAGCGCCATAATCTACACGCTCCGCTGCATGATCTCTGAGGACATCCCGCTCAACCAGGGATGCCTCAAGCCCATCACGGTTAAGATCCCACCCCAGAGCCTGCTGTCGCCGTCAGACAACGCCGCCGTTGTGGGCGGTAACGTCTTGACCAGCCAGCGCGTGACTGACGTCATATTCAAGGCGTTTGAGGCTTGCGCTGCCAGCCAGGGCGACTGCAACAACCTGACGTTTGGCTTTGGCGGCAATGTAACGGGCGAGGCCGAGGTGCGCGGCTTTGGCTACTACGAGACCATTGCGGGCGGCAGCGGCGCCGGCTCGTACTGGGAGGGCACAGACGGAGTGCACACGCACATGACCAACACACGCATCACAGACTCGGAAGTATTTGAGAGGCGGTACCCCATCCTGCTGCGAAATTTCTCGATCCGCAAAGGGTCTGGCGGCCGCGGCCAGCACCACGGCGGCGACGGCGTCGTGCGCGACATTGAGTTCCGCATCCCCGTGCAGGTGTCGATCCTCAGCGAGCGGCGTGTCTACCGGCCTTACGGCATGGCTGGTGGCGAGGACGCCGAGTGCGGCCTCAACCTGTGGGTGTGCAAGGTGCAGAAGGCGAGCTGGGAGACGAGCCTGCGGAGGCTCCAGCAGAGCGAGGCTGGCGCGGAAGAGCAAGGGTTCGAGGAGCGCTTCATCAACCTCGGCGCCAAGAACAGCGCCCCAATGAAGGCGGGCGACCGTATCATCATTAACACGCCGGGCGGCGGTGGCTGGGGCAAGGTCGGCGACGAGCCGGCGCTCGGCAAGGGGAACAACCCGACTCTGGCGTGGAAGAAGGGGTCACATGCGGCGCGGGAGGAGATGGCGCTACAGGCGTGATGATGGGGTTCTGAAGGGTGAAAATAGACTTGAATATGTCCCACGAGGTAATGGATTCGTAATTTTGTCATTATGTTTTCTTTCGTCGGAGCGCTTTCATCTGTCACCAAGGTCAAATGGCCTATACCCATCACCATGTACACAATGACATGAACGTTTATAATTATGTCATGACCGAATGTACTGGTAATGTTAATTGATAGACATTTATGCTGTTTCTTCGTTTTATTTTTCTATGACATTCCCTCTACAGTCGCGTATTGTCGTTCTTGATATAACACCTCCCTCTATCCTACCCCAAGCAAGATACAATAAGTAGCCACGTTGGCGATCGGGCTCTCCCCCGTCCCAAATAAACAACCCAATTAACAACCAAGCAAACACACAACAGCCTAACTAAGGTGCTTGAGATAGTCGCGTACAGTGAGAACATCTAGGTGGAAAGGGGATTCCAGGTTCGAGAAAAAGCCAGCAGACAAGAAAGTGTATTCCTGCACCTTTTTTCACGGAGATCTTGGGGTGCTGGCATCTGTCTCATTTACAAATTCTCCCCTTTTTTGGTTAATTGGTTGTCTCTCGAGACTGGATTCTCCAGGCGGGTTAGTTTGTTCTGCCATGTTTGGTTACATGTCCTAGCCTTGCTTCTTTATTTATTTATTTCCTTCTTTCTTTCCATCCATCACTTGTTTATTTATCTATTCGTTTGTTCGTTTGTTAGTTTGTTTGCCATCTCTATCCAGGCAGTGACTTCCTCCACAGTATAGTCCAGTCCAGTGTTGTATTTATTTTTATTGCATTATGCCCATCACCATGCACTTGGGTAATTACCTTCTGAAAGGAACAAAGTCGAGTTTATTGTTCTATACTACCAAGTAGTAGTTGACGATTTACTATTTAGAGATATCCAAGGTGCTGTGCTGTGCTGTGCTGTTCCAACCATACCTTCTCTCGGTGATTGTGTTAGCGTTCAGAGTTCAGAGCTTTTCTCTTCCTGTTAGTTGTTGGTGGCGTCGCGTGCGGCTGAGGATGGATGCCTGGGCAGTTGAGGGACTAATTATTCGTTGCTCAAGATCCCAAGATTCCCCGTGAGGCTGTACACTTCCAAGATAGTAGCGTAGACTGTCTTCTGGCCTTTACACAAACCTAAATCATTTGTTTTTTTCTTGTAGACCATCGCGTATATTCATAAAGGGCTTGAAAGGGCTCCTTTGGGAATCTACCAGGTCCCTAGCTGACATTTCGTTGAGTGACCGTCATCTATTTCACCCGACGTAGAAAAAGAGATGAACACCGTAGGCAAGCCACGACTCCCCGCCTCGCGGCCGCCGCTTCAGACCTGCCAAAACTGACCAGCATGCCAATAAAACAGACGCCCCCCAGACAGTACCGTGGCAGACGGCCTACTGGGCCCTGGCAGCTGTGGCCTTCAGCGCCATGATCTAGCCGGCCGGGCGCTTCTGCAGTCTCGATCCCGCGCTGCGCCTGTTCCTGCGCAGCAGCCCCGTCTTCTGCGCCGCCGATGTCCTAGCGCTGCTGGTGCGGCTTGCAGCCCGGAGCGTCGCGCAGCGGTCGGTCCGTGGCGGCTTCCTCCTCACGCTGCAAGACCGGAGTCTGCTGGACTAGCAGGCGTCTGCCACCACGGGCCCTGCCCCGCTGCCCCGGCCGCTGCAGGAGCACACGTAGGTCCGGGTCGCCGTCTTCGTCTTCCTCGGCGCCCCACAGGCCTTGAATCTCTTTGCCTTGCAGGGCTTGCTGTGGACGCAGGCGCTGGGGGGCTGCTACGTGGCGTCGTTCGTGCTCTACGAGGCCGCCGCCATTTCACTCGCGGCAGTCCCGGCGGTTTCCCGATGGCCGGACCTGTCGGTTGCCAGGCCCCCGGATTTGCGGGTGCTAGACTTAGCTGATAGTACGGCTGTGGCCCTGGCTGCACTGGGGAACTGCGTGCTTCTCTTTTGGGCCGCCGCGCACGCTGTACTCTACTCGAGATGGACAGAAGTCGGCTGTATTTCCTGTAAGCAATTTTCGGGCAGCCTGCCCGTTTTGTTCGCCTACTCCAGCGTGTGGGTGATCAGATTCATCTCGGCCGGTCTACTCGTAGCGTTCATCATGGCGCTTCCTGCACTCGCCTGCTTGATCGTGTTCGAGGATAGGTTGAAGAGGTTGGGGTTGGTCCGGATGAGACGGGTAGAGATGCCGCTGCTACTATGGGTGAGAATGTGTATGTTCTTTGTTTTGTCTTCAAATTCTATAACCCTCCACCAATTTTTGATCTCGATTGGCCTCACCGCCGTATCTTGTGGGCTTCTTTCGCTGTTAGTCTACCTGTGTTACGTTGGGTTGGCTTACCTCTCGCGGCGGTTTACGTTTGTGCACAGGCTGCTTCTCATTGAGAACGCAGACTTGAGTGCAGAGAAACTGCGGTGGAGTGTTCTATCGTTTCTGTCACTTCTCTTCACCTTCTTGTTGGGTACTTGCTGGTACGGCCTGGTCTATGAGCCTTCCAGTACAGGAAAGACCGGCTGGCTCGAACAACTTGGGTGATGTCATATCTTCTTTGGCTGTGGAGCTGTGCAAGCAGCTCTCGCCGTGATGGGATTCTAGCGCTTGACTAGCGAGTATTTGGAATCAGTCTTTCCTCTGCTGCAAACCTCGAGATAGAGTTTCGTAGACTCGCGGCTCGCACCTCGCACCTCGCATCGGGGAACTTGGAGAAGCCGAAGTGCTAACTCGTCTCTTGCTCTTTGCTACAACCCAGACAGCTACCGAATTCTGTGCCGAGTTCCATGTTGTGAGCATATCTTGGCACTTCCACGGAGGTTGTAACCGACCGCTCCTTGGACTGTGTATCTGATTGGTTGGAGGGTGAGACAGCCTAGATCACTATTGATGGTAACGGTGAGATATATGTCTAATTAGGGTACGTACCGGAGTGGGCCGATTTTAATGCGCCGAGAGTAAACAATGACATTATGGCTATGCAAGCATGTATTGTCTCGTCTCGTCCAGTGTCTAGAACAAGGCCTAGCCTCATAAACTCCGAGGCCGGAGATGCAGAGCGAAATGAGCCCGACACTAGGCGGTGAGCTTCATCGGCCTGCTATTCTGAGTACAGGGTCTGTTCTGGCTGCCGCCGCCCCAATGTGGCCCACGCGCCGTGGTGTTGAACCCAGATAATACAATACCGCAAAGTAGTTAGGCAGACAGATAAAAGACCCGGAAGTCTGTCTCGAGACTGGGTAGTGAACTCTGTACACGGGCAACTGTCGATGGCTGGTGCAAGTTTTCAGCTTATCTTGAAGATTATCATGTTTCATGATTCGGGAGGGTTGCGAGAGACTGTGCCGTATTCGACTCCAAAGGTATGACCACACCGGCCGGGACCCTGTGCGGTTCCGAAGCGAGGACTCTCAGTGAGTGACACAAAGCTTCCAGTGTCCTGTCACTCTCCTTCCATGACCCTGCCACCTGACTATCGTGGCGGCTGCATACAGGCTGCAGCAAAGGAGAACAGCATGCTTCATCCTGTGTTTATATTTGCTGTTTCTCGTATCGCGGGACCCTAGCTTGAGGAGGCCTGGATACAAGCGGCCCGTCCGTCCGAACCGGAGTGATTCTCGCTAATCACAGAAGGTCAGCATGACCTCACATGTGCTTTCTGTATGTCTGATAAACATCGTCTTGTCTAATTGAGTCTGGCAGATGGAATGTCGTATTGTATTCGCCAAGACTGGCGCAGCGTGGCTGCCATGGCAGCACTATTTCCTAGTTTATGACAATCTCAGCACTCTGAGGTAAGTGAGCGAGTGGGCGGATGATTGCTGGAGGGCTGGACGGTTAACCCTTTGCAGACGAAGGCAAAGTGCGGGCGTGCAATTACTATCTATAACTAGGCACCATGAATGGGCGATGGGCCCGAGAAGGGCGTCTGGTGGTTGTGATTGTGACGTGCGACACTGGCCGCAAGCAAGCAAAGAGGGCGCAGGGGTTCGCTAAAGCGCCGAGACGAGATCTGCTTGCTGGTGGGACGCAGTGGCCGATAATAGTAAAGTGACGATGCGATCGAGACAACCGAGACAATCGAGATGATCGATACATGGAAGCCCTCCCTTGCCTCTCGCTCTTCACTAACTTCTGAGAGAAATGGGAAGAAGAGGGAGTGGGGGATAGCAGTCGAGACTTGGATGGGATACCTAATTAGGGTGATGGACTCGGCGGCATGAAGGTGTGGCGGCAGCGAGACACAAGCCTGGCCTGGGTTTCTGTTGTCGGGAGCGACAGCAACCACCAGACTGCGACGTTTGAGGAAAAAAAGCCTCCCTAGAGTTCCTGTCGGGTATCAGTGAAGCCCTAGGTCCCGTCGGTCGAAATATTTGGGTCCTGCCCGCCTGAAAAACCGGCTGCAGCTGATCACCGTTGGAACTCTAAGTGATGGAATAGGAAAGCAGCCTCGTGCCACCTTCGGCAAGTGCCCCCTTGTCTGCCGCTTCGTTGCCCCTTGCTGCGGCCCCTTTTCTCCTTCTTACTGCCACTCAGTGGCGCCCACTCTGGCTTGGATACTTGCTTCTTTCAACGTCATCTCTTGGTGGCTCTTTCCGAATTCAGGTCGACTTTCCAGGTCTCACCCACGATTCACGACTACTAACAGCGGGCAATTTCTTGGTTGCACCAACCGCTCTCAAGGGCCAATTTAGTCGACCTACATCTTCTTGGATACATGCAAGGCCGCGAGCAACCCTTGTTCGTTGAAGCATCCTGGAGGTCGCAACACGCGAACAAATTCGGCTGCATCTCCGCTGAATGTTTACGTTTTGTTCCTTGTCGTTCGACGAGATATGCCAATATTTGAGCATCTCGTCTCTTTTCTCCCTCTTCGTTCCCTCCTCTTCCTGCTAGCGCTTCGTCTCCGCCTTTGCTTAGGCCACGGTCTGCCTTGGTGTTTGCCTAGGGATCTTAGACTGTCCACTTCTTTAGTAAATCCCTGGTAGGCAAGATATGGAACATGGCCTCAATGGGTAAGGTGTCAAGACGAGACGCTGCAGCAAACAATCGAAGTCCAGAGTCCTCAGCATGAGAAGCACGACGGTCAGGGCCTGCCTAGGACCACCTATCTCATGATCGCCCTAATTCGCCTGCCTCTCGCCCGTATAGTTCTTCTTGATCTGCCTCAGCTCATCTGCCTGGCTTCTCTCTTCCCGTCTCTCTTCTTCCATCCGATTCCCGAAGGGCCAACCAAGATGCAGGAAGCCGAACGGCCCCGACCCTGCCTATATCAGCAAGCATAAGCGCAAGAGTACCTAGATATTGGTTCTCTAGGTGCTCTGCCTCCCCCTGGCCCTGGCGCCTCGCCCTCTTGGGTGGGTGGCCGGTCAACCATCAGCTCTCTAATGTCGGACTACGGGCAAGCGCACTAGCTAGATACCTAGCTTCAACCTTGGCGACGCCGGCCTGGTCCCGTTCTCTTAGCATTCTGCACGCAGATTTCGGGCTGGTCTTTTTCCGTCTCTGGCTCTCTGGCAAAACGCACAGCCGTGGATGGGGTGGCCACGGTGCTCGCTCTCTCTTTGCTCCGAGACGCCCTCGACTTCTGCCCCGCGGGCTTACCTATCTCATACCTACCTACCTAGGCGAGAGAGCCGCCACGCTAGTTGGCCAGTAGGGAGCTTCGAACTACTTACGTACTAAGGATCTGTACTTTGTTGCGCCCCTGGGATTGGAATTCTATGCACGGTCGCCATAAGATCGGCGCTGATGCTAATTGCACGCGCGCTGACATGGGTCCAAAGAATCATGCTGCATATCCAATTACACGTACACCCAATTTTTGCCCCATGACAGAGAGCCTCCCTGCGGCTGTCTTGGCTTCGCTTCCAATGCTGTGCTCACGTCTTGATGAGACCAGTTGTTGCCACTGATTCGTCGTCTATGGCCATGGCCTAGCCTTTCATGGCCCGTCTTTCATTACCCTTGTTGCCACGCTGCAACGCCATCAAACCATTGGGCGTTTTCGATGCTATACTAGGTCCTGTTGCTGTCAGGAACCGAGGATGGAGGATGGAAGCTTGAACAATCTCCAACGCCTCGGATACCACTAGTCCGTCCTCCAACCGCCATGGAATTCTCACCAGCCGTCCTAGTCGGCCTAGCAGAGCAGAGCAGGGTCGGAGAAACGGCAAGAGACAGAGGCCGCGCCAGAGAGCTAAAGGACGAGCCGCCTGTTTCCCGACCACATGGGCTTGATTCTACCATAGTTTGCTAGACTCTTAGTAGCTGCATTTGCAGCCTCGTGGTCCCAATCTAACGCGTACGTGTGCGTCTCAGAGACGTTATAACCCCTTCCCCCGGTCTCGTCTGGGATACACATCTCTTCAACGACCTGTTGGCACCGCTACCCATACCTTCCATCTCTGTGCAGATTTCATCCAGCCTTGGCATCTTTTGAATAACTTCCAGCACCATTTTCTCTCTGTCATCTACTTGCTAGTGCCCCAAGCCTAGTTGTCTAGCCCCTAGAGTCGGAGCCATGCTCGCGTCCGGTGTTTTGTCAGCCGGGTTCCTGTCATTGGCGACCCTCGTCCGGGCTGGGACCGTTACGTACAACTGGAACGCGACATGGGTTTGGGCCAGTCCAGATGGCTTTGCAAGGCCGGTTATTGGTATCAATGGCCAGTGGCCGTGCCCCCTTCTAAACGCCACCCTGAACGACACCGTCATCGTCAACTTCAGTAACAATCTTGTCAACGAGACCTCTGGCCTGCATTTCCATGGCCTCAACCAGCTGGGAACCGAAGACATGGATGGGCCAACCGGAGTCACGCAGTGCCCCGTCCCTCCTGGGTCCACGATCCAGTATCGGTTTACGGTATGTCTGCATTAGACATGCCCTCTCTGTGTTGTACACGACTAAATCAACAGTACTGGTGCTGACTATCTTTTTTTAGGTTCCCAACGCCGGCTCCTACTGGTGTATGTCTCTCAGCTACCCCCTGATAACCGAATCAAAATGTCGATTGAAGTTGTGCTAATGATGATGGCGAGATAACAGATCACTCACACGACCTGGGACAATATCCCGATGGCTTGCGAGGGCCTCTTGTTGTCCACGACCCCAATGACCCATACATCGGCCAGTATGACGAGGAGATTATCTTGGGTGTTTCGGATTGGTAGGTTGAACAGCTGCTGTCACTGTATGAGCCCGCTTGACTAACATTTGACAGGTACCACAACCAAAGCATCGAACTCGGCCGCCAGATGCTTACTCCAACCAATACTCACTTCGCGCCCCCCTTTCCGGACGCCCTCCTTATCAACGACGGAAAGGGTGCCGATATCAATTTCGTCAAGGGCAAGACATACCGGATTCGAATGATTTGCTACTCCGCCCTGTCGTCCGCCTTCATCCACTTCGAAAAACACGTCATGAATGTCATCATGACTGATGCATCCTATATCCAAGAGCAGGAAGCCGACATGCTGCGTATCGCTCCTGCCCAGCGCTACGACTTTCTCCTCACGGCCGGCGACAACGATTCGGGAAACTATCCATTCTTGATATCGCTCGACACCAACCGGGACTACACCAACGCCAGCCTTGGAGTTTCCTTCCCGCACAATTATACGGGCTATCTGGTTATGGACAACTCGAAACGTCTCGACAATACCCTTACCGTGAGCAAGTGGGAGCCTTATGATGATTCGAAGTTCAAGGGCAAAGATGGCGCCGGGCCTTTGTCGCCCCGCAACGAGCTAGTCGAGCTCGACTTCAAGTTTTGTTTTGACAAGAATGGCGATCCTCGGTAAGAACGTGTTGGATCAATATCTAATTAAACGCTAACCTTTTTTTTGTCCCTTCCAGTTCGTGCCTCAATGGCTTGACGTACCTCACCCAGCCAGTACCGACCTTGTACACCGCTACCACTACGGGAGAAAACAATACGAACCCCCTTATCTATGGGCAAGTCAACCCTGCCATCGTTAATTACGGCGACGTGGTCCAGATAGTTCTCAACAACTATGACGAAGCACTTCACCCTTTCCATCTACACGGGCATCAGTTCCAGGTCTTGGACCGACCCTTGAGCGGCGCCGGCAAGTGGTCCGGTCAAGACATAAATTATTCCAGCGAGCCACTTTCGCGCGACACAGTTACCGTGTACGCCAACTCGTACGTCGTGATTCGCTTCAAGGCCACCAATCCCGGCGTCTGGCTCTTCCACTGTCACATCGAGTGGCATGTCGAGATGGGCCTTACCGCTACAATTATCGAGGCGCCCGACCATCTGCGCGGCTTCACCTTCCCCGACGAGTTCCTCAACATCTGCAAGCTGCAGAACATCCCGTACGAGGGCAATGCTGCGGGTAACACGGATAACTATACCGATACCTCCGGGTTCGTTACCTTGGCGCCAAAACAATACAATGGGTGAGCTTTCTTTTTGTCCTTCTCCAGTCCTAGGGCCGCCGGAAGTTGCGTGTGCTGACACATTGTCCCTGGAAGTGCCTTGTATATCGCTCCCTCATAGTACCTGCGCATTTTCTGCTTTTTGAGCAGTCGCTAGTGTCATCTTGCGGGTGTCGCCTTTGATACGACAAAGAGTGTCAGAGCGGCAGTAAGCTAGATTGTAGTTAAGAGTCTTTCTTTAGTCAACACTTTTTCTTTTCGTTGGAGATGTAATACTCGTGTCTCAAGTCGTGCATGCTGGGCTGCCTTGCTGGGGGCGTTAGTTTAGGGGGCGAGATAGACATGGTTTGCCCCGTTTGGCAGTTTGTGTTTTTACCTCTTTCCTTTCAATGGAGTCGGTGAGGGTGATATATAGAGGGAGCAAATGCAAATTAGAATAGTAACTTGAAGAAAGCAATATTTGGTAAGGAGCAGGTTGGTTCTAGTTTTTGCTGCTGTCATCCTAGCTCAGGTCTGAGGTCGTTATTGGGGAAGAACATGGGATACACAAGAAGATTGAGTTAATATAACTTTTAATGAAGAACGAGGGCTCATTTTGTGATTTCAACTTGTGGGAAGAAGGAGACGTGATGATGATCAACCGCGCTATGTGATCAACACACAAGCAGATTCGAGAAAAAAGAGACAAGAACAGCAGGGGAGAACTGTAGACTGACACGTGGTACAATGAGGTATTTGAGTGTCGGCGGGTTGGTGTCAAACTGGAATTTTTGACATATGAGTGTTGTTTGGTTGTTGGCTTGGTCAAATCTACCGAACATTTGTCGCGCCGGACGGCTGACGAAGTGACAAATATGTGAGTGTAGATGAGGCTACGTAACCAGCGCCACATGGACCATAGCATGTGCGGTCGTTTTGCTAAACAGTAAGACGGAGGTTTGTTGGACGAAAGGTGAGATCTGACAAGAATGAAAGGGGGCGTGAGAAGATCATTATTTTTGGGTACCTACCTAGGTGTCTAGGGAGTTGGAACAATGTTTATATGCCCTTGCGGGGTTGGCATGCCACAGTCGATAGATAGCACACCGCGAGCCTCGACAAGACGGTGGAGATGGCCCCATTCTGGCCGCGAGCGGATGAGGTTCTAGGTAACAATTCTTCTCCGGATAGTTAGGAGAATGATGGATTCCTAACCTCGCAGGAAGAGAAGAGAGACATTTTGTGAAGAAGAGGAAAAAAAAAAAAGGGGGGGGGGGGGTGGGGGGGGGGGGGTTCAGAAACATAGAGGAGGGAAGGGAGGGAAAAGAGAGAATGAACTGTTAGGCTGGCGCAAAATAACGCCGTCACGCCACCTCGGCTCCCATTTGTGAAAGGAAGCAGGGAGAAAACGACTTCGCTCCATTCACCAAGGGCCAGAGAATAGAAACAATAAAATGACACAAGGATTGAATTGGTCCAAAGGGAGAAACCCAGGGGGAAACAAGAAAAGAAGGGGGGGGAAGAAAAAGAAAGGAGACAAGAAACAACAGATCTGGAAATTCGCATTGGCGACGAGGGACGGACGCCAAACAAAGTTATATGCCACGCACTGGGTAGGTAGTAGAGGAGGAGAAAGGACGAGAGTCCTTGCCTTGCATTATTTACTCGCTCATTCTCGCGCGGTCACAAACACCTACCTAGCATGGAATACGAAATAAACGCAATACAAAACTCCCTCGTCTTAAAACCACAGCCCCCCTCTTTTTCTCTTTGGTTGGCTACCTAATTAGCTGGCATCTAGTAAACCCGACCGGCCGGCCGGCGTCCCTCTCTCCCAAAACGCCACCGCTTACTCCGGCGCCCGAACAATAACCAAAAAAAGGCGCCCAAAATAACTCACTTGGCCTTCTTAATTCTTTTCGCCTCCCCCCCGCAACAATGTCAATACGCAACAGAAACTAGCATGCACGTTTAATAAATACCTAAACCCCGAGCGAACAACGATTTAGAATCCTCGCCAACCGGAAACAACATTTCGGGATGAGAGATGGAACGGAGAAAGGGTGTACACACAAGGGCGGGAAGAAGGCAGGTGACTGGTGTATGTGTGTGATAACCCCCTAATTAAGGCAAGGCAAGTTCGATAGGTCTTCTATATTTATAGGCTTGCCTGCGATCTAATGTTGCTTCTACGGGTGCGGACGCGGTTAGTAGTTGCAGGGCTGATGGTTGTGGCTTCTGTCCTACTGTGTACACAACTGTCGTCTGGTTGGCGTCGCATAATCGCGGCTTGCTCTCAATTCGGCCAATCTCTCACAGCCCGGAGCGCTCGCTCGTATAGCCAGCCAGCCTTGCAGCATGGTTTTGTTCCGTGACATGTTATTTTCGTCTTGGGGGAAATGATCAGGGTGTGAGCCATTTTCATTTCACGACCTCATCATAAGGATCCCGTGGTCTTTCGAGTCTTCTGATCAGACAAGTATGCTTTTTCCTTTCGCCCAGAAAAATAGTCGCTGTTGTGGCACTGCATTCCCATGCGAAACGGCAATGAGCAGCACTCTCACCATCTCTTGATTGCCGTATGACGCGATGGGGAAATGTGACGAAGTTCATTCTTCAGACTATAAAAAGTAGAAGAAAAAAAAATATACTTACATGTTTCTGGCATCGGTGCACGTTATCTGTCCATGCCTCCGCACAGACACTTCAAACCTGATATTGCTGCTAACTCATCCATCCGGACAGGTGGTAAATACTTTCTGAAGCGACATGTGAGAAGTCCGGCTTCAAGCGGTAGGGGAGATGTACAAGTCCCGGCGCGGCGAGCATGTTATCTTGGCGAGTCTAGAAATGTACGACGTATCCGAGACACTCGACTTCCTGAAAAGGGTGATCCAGTTTGCCTCTCGGAGAAAAAACAGGATCAGAGTCCGTGGGGAAGATGAAGACTCACACCCCAAGATGATAGATGCCGCCACAGATCGGACGTTGATCCCCGGAACTACCCGCAGACAGAACAAGTCAAACTGGCAGTGCTGGTGCCACAATGGCGGAATAGAACAATTAACGCCGTGATAGAAGGTTGGCGAAGAAGAGAATAAGGGGGAGAACCCCGGCCGACAAGTCTCACATGTCTCACAGAATATACCTTACCTCTGTCAAAAGAAGAAACGATAAGCCCCGGATGGCGCTCCGTACACGTCTCGCCCCGTGAAACATGTCACACAACCACATCTCAGCTAGCTTCAGAATAGTTGGCTACCTAGGCAGGCAGGTATGTAGCTCGGCCGGGCTCACGACGGGGCGTTCTTCTCCCTCTCGAGTCAGCTGAGTTGTGTTGATCGGCTGTGTTCAAGCTGCGGTTCCTCGATGGCAGTAAGACGTGATAGGGCTATTAGGAAGCACCTGCGGCGCATACTGGCTGCCCCATGATAGAGGATGGCATATGGCACGGCAGGGGTTTGGTTGCCTTTTGGGACAGCCAGGGTCAGGCAGCTCGTATGATACCAATCGTGGGGGAGAGCGTGGCTATCTACCTTACCGACGACGTACCAGGTGGGCCCATATCTGGTCCAAAAGAAAACTCGTAAGTCTTGGGCAAGCCAAGACTTGGCCCGTTGGCGATGCTGCGATGCCGCAGTCCGTTGTTGGATTGCATGATACCTTAGGTAGCCTGCAGCAGAGTCGCTGACAACCCAAGTCCGGAGTCCGGTGGTGTTTGGAAATGGATGTAGGGAGTACCGGAAGCTGCGGCAAGTATCAGATAGGAAAGCAGAGTCGGATGCTGGACTTGATAAATCTTCTTGGAGAGCCATGGAAGCGAGTCCGGAACTATGGGCAGTGAGTGATTTGGAAGGCATGGAAGACGACGTAGTAGCAGAAGGCACACTGAGACGTCGACAGAGTTACCTTCAAGTTACCTTACCTACCTTGGCAGTTGCGACTGTTCTTCAAGTCTGCCAGCGCTCAGGTAATGCCTGCCTTGCCTGTCCCCAATTTAGCGTAGCAGGCAAGTACGTCTCATAGAAGCTTTTAGTAAAAACCCGACTCCGGCCGAGCACCTCACCGGAGCTGTGCCGAGGCAAGGGTGACTGTAAAATCCAGAGGCGGATTAGAAGAAGGACCGACCGGAATGAGACAGATCTTACTTACCATAGTTACAGCCTCTGCTCCTAGTAATGCCAGCCTAGGAAGTAGCAGGCTGCCAGTTTCATTACCAACACTCCACTAGGCATCTAAAGTCCTTACCTATGTTCCTCTCGCAGATGTCTGGTCTTGACGCAAGGCGCTCTTGGACTGCGATTGTCAAATATCAAGACACACAGTTTGAAGCCAACGGCGGGCGGTGAGCGGTGGGCACGTGGGATCAAACTGTAGTGTGAACATTTGAGTGTACTCCACCACCGGTGGAGGTACACATCTCCGTCACCAAGAAGGCTCGAGTCTAAGGATATCCGGACGGGAATTTGCTGGGCCGAGACCCCGAAAGAGGGTAAGGCATGTAGTATAGTGTGGGCGGAAAGGTACATACGGTGGTAGACGCATAGTTGAAGCTGAAACCGAAGGAGGCTAGGTAGCAGTGCTGGCTGCTCCTGCCTTGAAGCTGCGTCCCAACTGCCCCGAGAGCGGGTAGGTGATGACGATACGCTTTGGGGATTGACGTTTACTCCTATCTCGTTTCCGGTCGCCCGAGATGGGCGTGAGCGAGGTGGCTGCTGAACTGGCTTGCAGACGCTCCCGTTTCGGGCGTTGCGCCTGCAGCATTGTTTCGAGAAGGCGCAAAGTGGTTGAGGTACGGCAGGTAAGGTACATACAGATTGCGGATTACCTTATAGCCTGTGGTGTACTTAGTTAGGGATGCATGAATGACATAACCCGCAATCGCCGAGACGGTCCGCCTGTGTCTTGGCGCTTGGCGCTCTTCAAATGGCACGAGCTAACGGCAGCCATTGCCTGGTCAGCGGGTTTTAGCGTCTCCCAGCATTACTGGACATTTGGTACAGTGTTTAGGTGCATACATACAGGATGTACCTTGCCTAGATGGGTGCCGTGGGGTTTTGATCGCGGGGGGGCCGGGGGCACATCCCCCCCCTAGGTCCCCGGACCCAGCCGAGAACGAAGCCCCGCTCATCTTTTGCCCCAGTCGTCCCTCCCGCATCCGTCAAGGCCAACCAGAGGCATCTAGACAGGGCAAGAGCAACAAGAACTGCAAGTGCAAGTGCAAGTGCAAGTGCAAGTGCAAGCGCAAGTGCAAGTGCAACTGGAACTGGAACTGGAATAGGAACAGGAACAGGAACAAGAACTGGAACTGGAACTGGAACTGGAACTGGAACTGGAACTGGAACTGGAACCGCAACTGCCCTGCAACTTGAGTTCCATGCAATGAGACACTTCCGCCAATTTATGAATGTTCTTGAAAGTCTTTCCCTTTTCTCGCCGAGTCGAGCGGCGGCGGAGACTCGGCTTGCTCAATGGAGGCTTGGCCTGCTTCCATCCAAACTTCGCGACCCAACTACTACAGATAACAGCCCTGTATCGACTCTCGTTACACTCACAGACAGACACACGGCACTGCCGATCCAGACTCTCAAGAGCATCCCAGCACCGTGGTTGCCGCCGCTGGACCGGGAGGGTTGGACTGTGCTCGACTCCGACTACCTTAGGTACGGATGCCTTACCTAGCTCGGTGCTACGATGGTTCTTCATCGCGCTTTAGACTTGGACGGACGACAAAATCTTCTATTCCTTTAGCTCCAGGTTTTTAGTTAGTTGGGACGAAGTGGTACCGGCAGCGTATCATCAACTAAGCTTCAAGATTCGAGATACGAGATGTCACGGAACTCGGCACCCAGTTCAATTCACGATTCGGCATTCGACGGGCTGCATTCAGGCGTTCAACCAATGTTGGCTTGCCTTGAATGACATCAAACACCCTTAGCTAGCCCCGACGCCCGGGGCTTGTAACCGTCTCGGCTTGTATGCTCCGTGTCGAGCATCTCACCAACCTGCTCTTTAGTATCAGTCGCTCGCGTATGCCCCTTCTCTGCACAATGGTTGCTCCATTCCATGCCGCCACCGCCACCACCACCATCACCACCACCACGGACCACGACATTGCCGGCAGGATAGGGTATGCTGCACTGCTGCACACCTTACCTACTTACCAGAAGTTGCCTTCTAGCCGCACACCCTTCGATCACCCCGCCCCCTGAGGATCTGAATCGCGTAGCAGATGGCCAAATTGGGTCTAAGGTTTGTCTTGGTCGCGTTGCTGTATCTCTAGGACAGCTCAGCACGGCAGTACTACTATTCCCGCAGCGCTGGTTCGCCTCCAATCTACAATCTAGGCAGTAGCGACCTAATGGTATGAGACAATCCGTACCCCGTTCGAGGCAGACTCGGGAGGGAGCTCCCTCCCTGCTTCATGGCATTCTTGCCACGGGCCAAGGGTTCGGATGGCGCCCGCCGTGGCCACCGTGCCTGAAGGGAGCAGGGAAGTTGCCCGCGCCGCGCCGCAATATACCCGATCAATCTCAGCTTGACGACCTGGTAAATCTGGCCAGACTAGCAACCGTGCCCTGCTGCTCATCACAGCAGATGGGCTGTTGTGGGGATTTCTAAGCAAGCTCAAATTGCTCCAGGACGCACGCACACGCACGCGGCTGGCTCGCATATGTGCGGCATCTCGATCACCACACCCCCAGATATTCCGTACCTCCGCTGCGCTATCCGTATTTACGTATGCGCACAGTCTTACTGGCCGGCCTTGCCTTGCCTTTGTTCATTGTCGTCGTCGTCGTATGGACACGGCTGCCGTTGATCCGCTTACACAGTATTGCCCTTGACCCCCGTCGGAGCTTGTGCGTCTCGAACTAGACCTATCCAGTCAAATAGCTTATTCTGGGCCCAGTACGGAATAGCTGGGTTACCTTCTTTCGACATCATAGCCCAGCCAGGCCAGTCTGCCTCGGCGAGTCGAGTTCTATAACCCTGCTAACCCTAGATGCTCCGCGCTCTTGCATTGTGCAGTGCAGTGCAGTGCAGCGCAGTGCAGCGCAGCGGTGCAGCACAGCATTGCAACATCGAAACATTGCAGGAGATAGACACCCCCCCATGGTTTCTGATAGCGTGCAGCGCCAGAAGCATATCGGGACCCAGTGGGCCAGTTGGCCAGTTGGCCAACACGGCAGCAACAGTATCCGTGTACATACCGGCCCTGCTCCGGGGCGGTGTCTTCTTGTTCTCCGTTACCTTAGCAGTGGCTAGGACATCCTAGAGCTGCTAGACCAGTCGACAGTTTGTGCACGATTCCGATTAGCGCCCCCGCCGCGTATGTATGTATGTACATACAAGCCATTCAGTGTCGAACTAGTAGCAGGCGCACTTGGGGTTTGAAGATTGCCCTTGGTGCCTTTTCGGTACAGCGTTGTGTGTCCGTTGGCGTTGACGGGATGGGGGGATAATTGTTGCTCGTTTATTCGCCATCTGAGATCCCGCAGATCCCTCCCTGGCAGCTGTGGGCGTTTCCTTGTGGGGGGCTGTCTGGACCTATGGCGTTGCTCAACAGCCCACGTTGCAGCAGCCATGTCGATGAGGCTCACCCCTCTGCCAGCTGGCGGCGACGACACATGGCTTGCCCGTCGCCATTCGCACCGCAATCGCAGCACCACCAACAACAACAACATCCTGCGACGCCGTCATGGCGGGACGCAGAAGGTCGATGCCTCAGAATGGCATGATCCCCAGCATCCGCGGCTAAATCCAGTGCAATTGGCTGCGGGTGCGCGAGCCGCTCTGGGTCAATTATTTGCTATGGTGGCTCGCCGTCCGTGTCGTGGGGGAGTCCGTCCGGACAGTCCGATGGACCACGGGCGACCAGGCTCAGCATGCGACCCACCTCCCACCTCACCTCCTTCTGTCCACTGTCCCTGTCCCTCAGCTAGCAGGCGGATAGTCAGTGGACAGCGGACAGATCAGCAAGTACGTATGTAGGTAGCGGACAGAAACTCGGACTCATTTCATTTGACTCGAAACAGGACGGACTTTGCTGGAAATGGCGGGGGTTAGCTGGCTGCTAACATGCGCTTTGTCTCGCATCAGAGTTTGAACCGTTGCTGCTCCCTTGCCAGCCTGGGCCGTCGAGAGACGATCTGCTAGCGCAGGCCTCGCAGTCTGTTCCTGGCCTTATTCCATTTCCCTGTTTGGGGACCCCGCTGGGCAGCTAGTGCTGGAAACAGCTTTCCACAGCCTCCTGCCCCTGGGTAGACGTCTTTCGTCGTGGGAAAAGAAAAAGCCCCGGCCGCATCTTAGCTCGCGACCCTTGCTTGGAGTGTCCTGCTACATGACTGAGCGGCCTGCCAGGCCAAGCTTTGGTAGCCTCCTAGCGACCCTCGCGAGTCGCGGTACCAATCACCTGCTATGGACGTCCCCAAAAAGGGAACCCCCAAGATTATCAATGATTCTTCGGTCACCGAAGACTAGCAACACCGGACACTGGACTTATTCCCACCGGCAAAAAGGATCACGGATTGGGAGCTGGAAGTGGAGGGGGTGGACATACCATGCTTGACTCTCCTGTTGTCGTACACGCCCCCCTACCCCCCTCCCCTGGAGCGGACTGGGAGGCCATGGATACCGGTTAGCTTTTTCACATGGAACGAGAGCCAGGGCTGCCAGTTCTGGTATTTTTAGTTTTGAATATTAGCCCTACATTGCCCATCTCGTTCTTATAAGATAAAGCCTGCTTCTGTCCGTACCAGGAATTCTTCGAGATCACATCACACCCGACAATTTCATGTCACCAGTACCATAAGATGGCTGACAAGCTGGCATTTCTCCTCTTCGGAGACCAGTCACTTGACACCCATAGCTTTCTCTCCGAGTTCTATCGCCAAGAGAAGCGGGGCCTTCTCGCGAATGCCTTCCTCGAGCAAGCTGGACATGCCTTGAAGACAGAGGTCGAGCAACTGACACGCTTGGAGCGGTCGCGGCTGCCAGTCTTCCGCACCCTACAGCAGCTCAACGAGAGATACTACGGCCAGAAGCTCAAGCACCCCGGCATCGACGGCGCTCTGCTCTGCGTTTCCCAGCTCGCACACTATATCGAGTAAGTCCCAACGCCCTCTTCTGGACCCCCGGTTTGGGGTGGCACCGCGTCCGGCGGCCTAACGTCTGTCTTAGTCATGCCGAGAAGAATTACGAGGATGTCACCAGACACGACCGCACACTTCTCGTCGGCCTGTGCTCGGGGCTTTTCGCGGCGTCTGCCATTGCGTCCACGCCGTCGCTTTCTGCCCTCGTCCCGTTTGCTGTTCAGGTGGTTCTCATGGCGTTCAGAACTGGGACGCACGTCCAGACACTCGCCGAGCGGTTAAGCCCAGCCTTCGACCAGTCTGATAGCTGGACCTACATATTTCCGGGCCCGAAGGAGGAGGACGCTTCTGCGGTTCTGAGCAGTTTTCACAAGAGTAATGTGAGTTTTTGCGAGCAAAACGAATAACTCCCGGCCGTTCAACTAGCAGGCGACTAACAATGCGCAGGGAATTCCGCAAGCCAGCCGCGCCTACGTCAGTGCCGCTTCAGTCAGCAGCATTGCCATCTCAGGCCCTCCGAGTACCCTGAAGTCGTTGGTGAACAGCGGAATTTTGTCCGCCAAGCCGACCTCTATTCCCGTCTACGGGCCGTATCACGCTGCCCATTTACATGCCTCGGCCAATATCGACAAGATATTGCGGTTGGACGACGCCAAGGTTGTTGATGCTCTTTACGGCACTCGCCCAAGATCCGCAGTCATGTCGTGCACTACGGGCACATGGTTCTCCGAGAAGGATACAGCCGCACTGCTGAAGTCGATTGTGCACGAAATTCTGAACGAGACTTTGATGTTTAACAAGGTCCTAGACGGGTGCCTCGAGCGAGCCCGCGAATTCAAGGGGAAAAGCTGCCTCATCCTCCCCCTCGGCCCAACTCAGAACGCGGCCACGCTCGCAAACCTCCTTAAGGCGCAGACCAATTTGGAGGTCGTGCTCCGCAAGTCGCCCTCGGTTTCGGCAGAGAGCACTGGCTCTCGCATCGGGAACCACGGTCCTAGCGGCAAGTGCAGGTTAGCCATAGTTGGTATGGCCGGGCGGTTCCCGGATGCTGCTAGCCACGAGAAGCTCTGGGAGATGCTCGAGAAAGGCCTCGACGTTCACAGGGTGGTCCCGCCAGACAGGTTCAATGTCGAGACGCACTACGACCCCACGGGGAAGATCATCAATACTAGCCACACGCCGTATGGTTGCTGGATTGAAAACCCGGGTTTCTTCGACCCCCGCTTCTTCAACATGTCGCCTCGCGAGGCCTTCCAGACGGACCCAATGCAGCGCATGGCGCTGACCACAGCCTACGAAGCTCTGGAGATGTCTGGCTACGTTCCCAACAGAACGCCGTCTACCAGGCTAGACCGCATTGGCACATTCTACGGCCAGACTTCGGACGATTGGCGTGAGATCAACGCCGCCCAGGAGGTCGACACGTACTTCATCACGGGAGGTGTCCGGGCCTTTGGACCCGGCCGTATCAACTACCATTTCGGCTTCAGCGGGCCCAGTCTAAATATCGACACGGCATGCTCTTCCAGTGCCGCTGCCATGCAGGTGGCTTGCACGGCCCTGTGGGCGCGGGATTGCGACACAGCGGTCGTTGGTGGTCTGTCCTGCATGACCAACCCCGACATTTTCTCCGGTCTCAGCCGAGGACAATTCTTGTCCAAGAAAGGGCCTTGCGCGACTTTTGATAATGAGGCAGATGGTTATTGCCGTGGCGACAGCTGCGCGTCGGTCGTGGTCAAGCGCCTCGAAGACGCCGAGGCGGATGGAGACAGAATCCTGGCTGTCATCCTAGGCACCTCGACAAATCACTCAGCGGACGCCATCTCCATCACACATCCCCACGGCCCAACACAGTCAATTCTGTCCACTGCCATCTTGGACGAGGCTGGTGTTGATCCCCATGATGTGGACTACGTTGAGATGCACGGCACTGGCACACAGGCCGGAGACGGCACCGAGATGGTTTCGGTCACCAGCATCTTCGCACCTGCTGAACGCAAGAGACCCGCCGACAGGCCGCTCTATCTCGGCGCCGTTAAAGCGAACATCGGCCACGGTGAAGCGGCATCTGGAGTGTCGGCCCTGATCAAGGTGCTCATGATGCTCCAGAAAAACGCGATCCCGCCCCACGTCGGCATCAAGTCGGGGTCCGTCATCAACAAGACCTTCCCCAAGGACCTGTCGGATCGCAACGTCAATATCGCATTCCACACAACCCCGTTCAGACGCAAGGACGGCAAGCCGAGAAAGATATTCGTGAACAATTTCAGTGCGGCCGGCGGCAACACTGGTTTGCTGATCGAGGAAGCCCCCAAGCTTGAGCCCGCAGAACAGGACCCCCGCAGCCAGCACATTGTTACATTGACGGGCAAGTCCAAGGCTGCCATGATCCGCAATGCCGAGAGACTTGTGGCCTGGATGGAAAAGAACCCAGGTACGCCTCTGTCGCATGTTGCCTACTCAACAACTGCTCGCAAGATCCAGCACTACTGGCGCATGAATGTGGCTGCCAGCGACCTCGCCGAGGCTCAGAGGGCCATCGCAGACCGTCTCAAGGAGAACTTTGTGCCTGTTCTTCCCGAGCAGCCAAAGGTCGCTTTCATGTTCACCGGCCAAGGCTCTCACTATGCCGGCCTGGGCAACGAGTTCTACCAGCACTACACCATCTTCCGCCAGAACATTGATGAGTTTAACCGCCTTGCGCAGATCCACGGTTTCCCCTCATTCCTGCCTCTGATCGATGGCAGCGAGCTAGATGTGTCCAAGTTGTCGCCTGTCGTGGTGCAGCTTGGTCTGGCCTGCTTTGAGATGGCGCTGGCCCGGCTCTGGGCCTCGTGGGGCATCAAGCCAGCCGTGGTTCTCGGCCACAGCCTGGGAGAGTATGCCGCTCTCAACATTGCTGGTGTTCTGTCTGCGAGCGACACCATCTACCTGGTCGGCGCTCGTGCGCAGCTTCTGGTAGACAAGTGCACAGCTGGCACACACACCATGCTGGCCACGCAGGGTTCCGTCGAGACCGTGACCGAGGCTCTCGGCTCCAAGGCGGAAAACGTCAACGTTGCCTGCATGAACGGCCCTCGCGAGACGGTTCTCAGCGGCGAGGCGAGCCAGATGGCCGAGATCGCCCAAGATCTCGCGGGCGCGGGCTTCAAGTGCACTCAGCTCCGCGTGCCTTTTGCCTTCCACTCGGCGCAGGTCGAGCCAATCTTGGACGACTTCGAGAAGCTCGCGCAGTCGGTGCAGTTCAACGCTCCCAAGGTTCCCATCATCTCGCCGCTCCTGGGCAAACTGGTCGAGGGAGAGCCGATCAACGCGGCCTACCTCCGCAACCATGCCCGAGAGTCTGTCAACTTCCTTGGCGGTCTCGTCTCGGCCCAGCAGTCGAGCGCCATCGACGAGAAGACGGTCTGGCTCGAGGTCGGCCCGCATCCCGTCTGTGCCGGCATGGTCAAGGCCGCCTTTGGTGGTACTACTGTCGCGGTCCCGACGCTGCGCCGGAACGAGAACTGCTATAAGACGCTCACCGCAAGCCTCTGCACGCTGCACACGGCAGGTCTCAACATCGACTTCAACGAGTATCACCACGACTTCGGCCGGTCGGTCCGCCTTCTAGATCTACCCAGCTACTCTTTCGACGAGAAGAACTACTGGCTGCAGTACTCTGGCGACTGGTGTCTGTCAAAGAACCGTGTTGGCACCTCGGCCCCCCCCAAAGCCATCCAAGCCGCGAAGCCCAAGCTGGCGACGACGACAGTGCAGAAGATCATCCGAGAGGAGGTCAAGGGCGATATTGCCATCGTCGAGATCGAATCTGATCTCTGCCAGCCACAGCTTCGCAACGCCGTCTCGGGTCACTTGGTCAACGGCGCTCCCCTGTGCCCGTCGTCGCTGTACGGAGACATGGCGATCACCGTTTGCGACTATGCCTACAAGCTCCTGCGGCCCGACTCGGAGAAGATCGGCTGCAATGTCGCGCACATGGAGGTGCCCAAGACGCTGATCTTCAACGACACAGCCAAGAGCCACATCTTGAGACTCACCGTGACCGCCAATGCCAAGACTAGCCAAGCAGACCTTGTCTTCCACACCGGTGAAGGCGCCAAGAGGATCGATCATGCCAACTGCAAGGTCTACTTCAATCCCATCGATGAGTGGCAGGACGAGTTTGACCGCGTCGCCTACCTGATCAAGTCGCGCATTGACGCCTTGAAGCAGGCCGAGCTGCGTGGCGAGGCTTCAAAGATCGGCCGTGGGCTTGCCTACAAGCTGTTCTGTGCCCTCGTCGACTACAATCCTCGCTACCAGGGAATGGAAGAGGTCATCCTTGACAGTTCTGCCTGCGAGGCGACGGCCAAGATCCGCTTCCAGACCACAGAGGAGGATGGCAATTATCACTTTAGCCCCTACCACATTGACAGTCTCTGCCACATCTCGGGCTTCATCATCAATGGCACCGACGCTGTTGACTCGCGCGAGCAAGTCTTCATCTCGCACGGCTGGGGCTCTTTGAGGTTCACCGAGATTCCCCAGCGTGGCAAAGAATACCGAAGCTACATCCGCATGCAGCCTGTCAAGGGCAGCAAGGTGTATGCTGGCAATGTTTATGTCTTTGACGGCGAGAAGATCATCGGCATGACTGGAGACCTCAAGTTCCAGGCCATCCCACGCAAGGTTCTCAACATGATGCTTCCTCCCCGTGGTGCCCTCGCTGCTGCATCTGCCGCGCCGGCTCGCTCTGCACCAGCTATCAAGGCCGCCCCTACCAAGCCTGCCGCCCCTGCCAAGAAGGACAAGAAGAAGGAGACGGTGACACCGTCAAACATTGGCAAGGTCAACCAGAAGTTGAAGAGCGTGGTCTCGGACATCATGGACATCCTTGCCAAGGAAGTCGGGTGCAGCCACGACGAGCTGGCGGACAACATCGCCTTTACTGATCTCGGCGTCGACTCTCTGATGTCATTGACTGTTAGCGGTAGAATCCGTGAAGAACTGGACCTGGACCTCCACTCCAACGCCTTTGTTGACTATCCCACCATCGGCTCCTTCAAGGGCTACCTCGCTCAGTTCGAGACACCAGGTCGGAAGAAGAGCATCTCTTCTAATGACTCAGATGATTCGTCTGACGACGAGTCACCTGAGATGGAGTCGGATTCCAACATCACGACTCCTCTAGACGAGAGTGAGACCAATTCGGTCAAGGGCGATGCCAAGGCAGAGTCGGGTAGCGCTGGCGGCTCTGAGCTCCAGTCCATCATCCGCAACACCATTGCCACCGAAATGGGCGTCGAGGTTGACGAGATCCTGGCTGCCCCTGATCTTGCCAACCTCGGCATGGACTCTTTGATGAGCCTGTCGATTCTCGGCACACTACGAGAGAAGTCGGGAATGGCCATTCCATCAGATCTCTTCGTTTCTAACCCCTCGCTGAAGGATGTCGAGCGTGCCCTGGGCGTCAGCGATGCGCCGAAGCGGCCCGCTGCTCCTAAGCAGTCCAAGGCCCAGGCACCCGCTGCTCCCAAGCACCCAAGGATCGGATTGGAGGAGCCGGCGCCCCCTAAGCCGCCTAGGCCGACCAACATCGTCGACAATTACCCGAACCGTAAGGCATCGTCGGTTCTTCTGTCTGGAAGCCATAGGACCGCGACCAAGCACCTTTTCATGATCCCCGACGGAAGCGGTTCTGCTACCTCGTACACCGAGATCGCCGATGTTGGCGGCCAGTGGGCGGTTTGGGGTCTTTTCTCGCCTTTCATGAAGACGCCAGACGAGTACCACTGCGGCGTTTACGGCATGGCCACCAAGTTCATCGAGGAGATCAAGCGTCGCCAGCCTTCGGGACCCTACTCGGTAGCCGGCTGGAGCGCTGGAGGTGTGATCGCCTACGAGATTGTTAACCAGCTGACCAGAGCTGGCGAAAATGTCGACAATCTCGTAATCATCGACGCACCCTGCCCTGTCACTATCGAGCCTCTCCCGCAAGGTCTCCATGCTTGGTTCGCCTCTATCGGCCTCCTCGGCGATGGAGATGACAAGAAGATTCCATCGTGGCTTCTCCCTCACTTCGCCGCCTCGGTTAGTGCCCTCAGCAACTACGACGCGGAGCCAATCGCCAAGGACAAGTGCCCCAACGTGATGGCCATCTGGTGCGAGGATGGAGTTTGCAAGCTCCCGACGGACCCGCGCCCGGAGCCATACCCCAAGGGCCATGCTCTGTTCCTGCTCGACAACCGGTCAGACTTTGGCCCCAACCGCTGGGACGAGTATCTAGATGTCAACAAGATGAATTTTAGGCACATGCCTGGAAACCACTTCTCCATGATGCACGACGATCTGGTATGTACCCTCCTCTTGAATCGCCAGTAATGCGTGAATCCCCGCTAACATGATTTTCTTGCAGGCCAAGACCCTTGCTGGCTTCCTCAAGGAGGCGCTGTTGTAAATTTGACGCCGCATCGGAGTTACAGCAAGTCGCGCGGTCGACTATGTCGGAATGCCTGAATGTTTTTGATGGCTCTCTTGTTAAACCACCTTCGTTTTACCATGCATCTGCCCCTACGGTCAGTAAATACAAGTTGTAATTCCTTATACTTGCTACTTCCCTTTCTATCGTCGGATACGGAGGTATGGCCATTGTCATTGTTTACTCTTTCCTCCAGTCTTTTTCACTTGTACTGTTCAAATTACTACCTAAGTCGGGGAGATTGTTGCGCGAGATGTTTGCTTGTTTCATTTGTGTGGCACTGCTAGCATTGCAAGATTGGGTTTTTCATAGAATATTGCTTGTTTCCTTTTTTTTCCTTTGAGTAAGAGACTGTTCTCTCTCTATCAGAGCTCGCCGGCTAGCCGGCCTGGCAGCTCTTCTTGTACACCTAAAAGAGGCTCCTGAGCCCGTTTCCATAGACCAGAATGATATAGCTACTGTTAGAAGCTTGCCCGTCTATTCGTTGAGGTTGATGCCTATGAAATACATCGTATAGCTTATGAAAAGCTGGTCAATATAATCTGTGCTATCTTTTCTTTTGTTCTTTATTCTTTCAGTTTCTCTTTGTTGTTTGTTGTGAATTAAACAGCAACCTTCAGCAGATCGGTGCACAACGGCCAGTCATGGTACTTGTTCCTTAGTCTGCCCTTGTCTCTCTTTTCTTCTTTCATTCTTTCATACTTTCTTTTCTCCCTAATACCTCGACTTGGACTTCCGTCTATTCTTTTTTATATAGAGTTATCTATGTATGTCTGTGAACTTAATAAGAGGGTACATTAAGTTGAAGCATCTTGTTTATTGCTCTCCTGCACCCCCTTCCCCTTTTAGGCAATGGCCTGTCTCCAAGAAGGGCTTCTATTTCTTTTTGGACTTGTTCTTGTTCTTGGTCTTGTCATTAGTTTTCTAATCCTATTGCTATTTACTTGCCTCCCCGTCCTTCCTTCTCTCTCCCATTCTGTCTTTCTCTTTCCCTCTACAACACGCACATCTCTCTCTCTCCTAATTGCTCTTGCCCTTTTCACTCCCACTCTCTGGTTTGCTGCAGAGGAACGTATATCTACCTTATCTGTCTAACCAAGTCTAAACCGAATCATGTCTCATTTGACTTCCATAGTTTCTGATTTCTTTTCCTCTGTCCGCACCCGCCTCCATTTTCTGTTCTTGTCTTTTGCGCCAAGCGCGAAAAGGTATTTTTGGGTCTCGTTTTTCTTGTCTGGTGATTATCATTAACACACACACACACACGCGCGCGCGCGGTTTTTGAGAACGGTGGTGGAAATATCTGGGTTCCAAAACGACGCGACAAAACTGTAGTCTGTATTTCTTGTGCATAGTCCCTGTGTTTGTGGTGGTCTAATCGTCTTCTCTAACTCTGGCGATAGTTCTAGCTCTTATTTGGTCTCCTCCAGTCCCTCACCCAGCAGTCAACTCAATACATGCTTCTCTGTCTGCCCTGTCCGCTGCTGCCTGTGTGTATGAGTGCATGTGTGTGTGTGCTATTGTTGGATGTCGTTGGGTTCTGACTTGGATGTGTGTCAACAAGGTATCCCCCAAAGCAGAAAATCCACCGTCGTTGGTTACCAATAAGGGGCGTGTTCATGTAGCATGATATGTTCGTTCTCGCGAGTAAGCACTTGCGCGGTACTATACGTAGGATTGTTGTCTTTCCTCCTTCTTTTACGCCTGACTTCAACTCTTTGAAAACATTACACTATATCATGTCTATACATACGCATAGCTAAGGTACCTACATAGGCATGTTATGGTGTGCTGACACGATGCACACCACGCAAAGGTCTTATTAGACCCTTGCTTATACTGATAGTTTTTCTCTGGCGTGGCTGTTGCGAAGGGTAATAGCAAAAAAGAAAATGATGGTGGGTGTTGAGTAAATGCGGGATGCGGGTGCGAGGGAGGTAATCCGTACACACAGCTGAGGTAGTAACCAAAATGGCTGCAGCCCTGAAAGACAAGACCTAGAAGGGCTACCCTGGTGCCACTTTGAGAGGAAGAACCCGGGCAGCTGGTAATGGATGCATTCCATTCCCCAAACCGTGGTTGGTGGTCAGCAAGTTGCTGTCTACCATTTTGGTAAGTTCCTAAATACCTAGCCAAGCGCACCTTCTCAACTAGACTGTTCCTTCCTCAATCCTTGAAATTCCCTGGTTTCCATGTTAAGTCCTGAACCGTCAATTGTGCTCCTTGGTGCCTGCCTCCTGGCCCTCGGGTGTTGATCAGTTGGAGCCTTGAACTCCAGGAGTGCGGGGACTCGGGGAACTGAGACAAGAGATTGCCATTGAAGTTGCGTGATGCAAGTTTGTCCTCGTTCAATCCCAACGTCGACCTCCACGCCTCCCTCACGCACACACAGCCCAAGTGTGTGTGGGCGTGTGTAACCCCCAACATGGGAACTAGATGCAGCAATGGGGCAGGCAGAGCAGGACAGCTAGCTGTAAAGGAGAGGAAAGAAAAGGCAACCCGCTAGATAGCTTAGAGGAAAAGGATTTTGTGTGTGTGTGTGTGTGTGTGTGTGTGTGTGTGTGTGTTTTGTCTCCCCCTTTCTTTTTTCTTTTTCTTTTCTTTTTCTCTTCTATGCCATTAAACATGCGCGCGCGCGCGCAGCTACCAATTGCACATCGCTCCCGCGTCGTAGCACAGCAGCTCGTCACGAGACATCAGCACACATAGCCAATATATTTATATTTATATGGTCTTGTCTTACAGCGCGCGGACATCATATATCAACACAGATGGAAGACGAAGAAGGGAGAGAGCGAGCACAAGATCCCGACAGCGTAGTGCGAGCAGTCAGGCAAGGCCCGTATTACAGCTTTCGGAAATTCAATCGTTGTCTTGGGTCCCAGGCGTCAAACAAAAGGTCCGAGCACGCCGTAATTGGTAATCCATGCTCGCTATGCGACTCTTAGCCCCCTTCGCAGCTTTTCTTCTGGTATTACAGCAAGAATTCCTCCGACCACGGGGGAGACAGAACCCAAATCAACTCTCTTGGTAGAGACAATGAATCACCTGCTGCCCGAGTTGCCATAGACATGTGCGACGTGCATCGGTATGAACACAACCCGCAAAGACCCGGGTGTTGCCAGGTAATCTTGGGATGGCGCCAAACCTCTGAAAGGGGGACGCTGCTGCCCGCGCATATCACCATGTTATCGTCTTGACGTATGTTCATCTTTCACATGCCCGCCCTATTTCCGCCTAAGGCATTTGTCGTCCTCGATCGACCTTGTATGTGGAGGGAGAGGCCGAACTAAAGACTCTGCAAGCCAGGCAAGCTCGGGGACTATGAGATATCTTTTTCTTCTTTCGTTCGATGCGGCCATCCGTCACACGGCGAGCGCCCATCGCAGCTGCAACAACCCTTCAACTAGCCCCATGCAACTTGCCTGGATAGGACCTGGGGGCGTTCGACGTATTCTAGAATGCATCATGTAAGCCTGACGAGGACAAGCCGAGAAATATATCCGTATCCGTGTGCACGCAGGGCGGCTTAGGGCGGGAGAGAGGCGGTGGGAAGTAGGGGCAGCCAGAACAGGCCATGCCATGCTGCCGCCATGTTTCGCAGTCCCGAAGCTAGCAGTTTCCTCAGACCTGCTTGTGCTCGGAACCCATCTCTGATCCGAAAACCAGAGAGAGCCTCCCGCGAATCGCAGCGCCCGGTGTTCCACGGCCTTGGTCTATCCTTACTGCGAGCACTGCTAGTACTGCGAGCCCCATGTCTGGTCTTCTCGTATGTGCACGGGCCTGGGCCGTATTCTCCTGCCAGCTCAGTTCCAGGCATCCGCCCTAGGGGTTCGGGACGGGCGGCTGCATGGTGTAACTTTCCACGTTCGGATAGCATGTTGCACCACCTCGTGGCCGCGGATCTGGCAGGCTCGAGGTGGAGGAGCTCTTCGGAATTTGTCTTTGACTTCTGTTATCCCGCTGTCCGAGTGCAGCCCACGTCTGACACAGAGCCCAGCCAAGGGTTACTCAGGGATGGCCGTTGGACCTTTGACCATGTAAATAAACCCGTGACCGATGGACAGCATAGATTCGATCCCCTGAGCGCAGGCCCCAGTTAACCTTTTGCGGCGCGCAGGGGCGGCTGGCGGTGAGGTTATGGAGTAATGCACGTCGAGAAGCACCTTCCAAGCTCGCTTTGTTTATTAGTTTCAAGGGAAAACCCGGGATGCCGATGGAAAAGGTTGGCTGCACTCTGTCTGCCTCGCGGCGCCTCAAACTCCGAGGCCCATCTGAGGAAAATAACATGTGCACCATCGAGGACCCAGAGCTAATGGGTGCAGTCAAGCTTGAGACCTGTGTTTTCTCTGATCTGGTTAGCTTTATTATAGCCTGAAGCAGAACCTCTCTGTGTTTCTGTTGGGGGGAGGAGATATTTCACCGTTGAGAGGGTAGGTTCCGGCGTGCATGTCATCTCTTATTAGCACGTACCTGGGAGGACGGGGAAGTTCCTGCAGTTCTGTGGCAAATAGACATCATCGACGTCCAGTCCAGGATATCCTGTCAAAATGCTTGGGCAGCGGAATATAGTATCTGGTTGTACGGCGAGTGCTATTTCAGGTGCAACGGGGATGGAGAGCGATGACTGGCCCACGATGTTCGGCCGAGGCGCTAATTTCTATTCGCCTGGAATTCGTATAAGCGAGAAAACAGAAAATAATGCAAGTAAAAGAAATACGCAAATGGAATGAATCCCACACATGGCACATGACTCACAGAAGTATGGAGTAATCACAAGGGCAAAGTTGTGGAAGTGTATAGGGGTCAAATGTATCGTCAGTAATATCCCTCACAACAAATTATTTCGTACAGCAGCTTAGCCCGGGGTCGATAAGCTGTTGACTAACCGCATTATGAATTGTGGGTAGTTGGTTGGATACTGGAGCCTGTGATTTCTGTGACATTATCATGACGACTGAAGGGAGGGACTGTCGATATGTTTTACGGGAACATCAGGAGCCGAGAACGAAGGCTACCGCGGGGCCTCGTGGACTGTATGTTCCCGCTCGGCGAAGGGGCTGATGGGAAGCTGAGAGTTCTGGACCTGGAAATGTCCCTTGCCATGCCAATTCAAGGCTGGCTTCAGCTGTTCGATTGAGATTGCGGGCTCGGCGCTTGTCGATCTGCTCCAGAAATTGGCTTGAAACACAGCGTTGGCGGTGTGTGTGCGTGGTCTCAGGGACCCTTGGGACCCTTGGGATCCTTGGGACCCTGGACGCCAGGCAATTCCGGGCGCTGATGGGCTGGGTAACGGCAGCATTATCCAAGCTCTAAACCCAACCAGCCAAGGTATCTAGAGAAGTGAGAGTGTGGGGCTCCTGTCGATCGTTCTCGAAAGTGACCTTTGACGCCACTTTGTACATACATACGCAGTAAACTCTGACCGGCGACGTGTAAAGCACGCAGTAGTCGTATAGTGGTTCCTGGCTGTGATCTCTGCTGTTAGAGGGACAATCTTTGGTGACGTGCTCGCAGTTTCTGTTCTTCTTCTGTTTCTTTTGGGCGTTTTTGTCTAATGTAGGCTGAGACTACTAGGTACTTATAGACTGCCTTGTAAGTTGCGGCCTCATGTTGGTGTCTTGGGGTATTCTAATGTGACTAACCTCCGCTCTGGGGAGTCTCTTTCCAGGGAAAGGGAAAAAAACCGATCCTTCGATGAAGGTATTCCGGGCTGCAGGCGCCTAGCGATCCAATGCCAGTGGCTAAGTTGTTCAAGCTACCGTGCCCCTGCTGCCTTCGACTGTGAGATATAAGACAATCCGTGGAGACAGGAAGTGTTCAACGAATAGAGGGGGGGAGGGGCCAGACGGCGATGTGCGGCTTGCAATGAGTCTCGATATCTGTTTAGGTAGGTAGGTAGGCGGGCAATTCTAGGTCTTGGTTATCCATTCCGAATTTAATGCTCTAACAAACGTTGGAAGTTGGGAATTCTTCTCCCAGCGCACTTTCCTCCACTAATAGCACCTAAGCTCTGCAATGGAACATCAATGGATTCACTTGTAGAATTTAAACGTTTATGATCGCCAACTTACCTACCTTAAATACCCTGCTCGTTCCTTCTCAGATCTGAAGCTGCGGCGGCTGGGTGCAACTTCTCATAAAACGGCAGGCATTTCGGGGTATTCCATTCAGAAACAGCCTGGAGACAGTTGATAATGACCGCCTGAACTAGAAACGCACCTTCCGGGTTGACCCGCACGAACAATAACCTATCTGGACAACGTTGCGACACATCAATGGAACTTGAAGTTCGCAACGCGGGACTGCTTCATTGTGTTAACCTGTTGCCTTCTTAGTGCTTTGGTGGCTACTCAATTTTGGTAGCTAAACGACCCGATCATTTGCGCCACAGGCAGCAGCCCTACTTATTAGGCACAAACCCCCCTGAACTGAACGCATGTGACCTGCAGTGGACTAATGTAGGCGTAGTGCAAGTAAGGTAGGCACGCCCTTACCCCGTCATTTCACGCGCATCAGGACTTGGAGATTTTCGATTTTGGTTGGCCCCCGTCCTGAACACTGAACACCACTAGAAAACGAATAGCTCTAGGTAGAGCAAGATGCCTTGGCTAACCACCAAGCATTGTTTTGTTTCACCTTTCAACTTATCCTTTTCTCTTACTTTTCGCTCTCCTTGCACCCACCTGCGGCACGAGCGGCCTTAAATTTAACGCACATCGACCTGGACATCATCCACACGCACACGCACACGCACAAGCGCGTTTAGCTCAGCTCTCGGGGACCTGAAGGATCTTCCATCCCGCACCGCACCGCACCGTAGCCCCCGCCGTACTCTCTGCCAGCAAACAGCGGCGTAAATGGAGGTGCAGTTTATTCTCCCAACAAGCCAGCCACATGTCTCTCAACCGTCCCAATCCCCATCCCTGTACGGTAAATGCACCTATCCCCATCCATATCTGGGCACCTTTGCCGCCTCCCATGCCTGAGATGATCGGACTCTGAGAGGTGTCCGTACCAGCCCAGCTGTCCGACCCTACCTTGTACTGTACATAGATAGGTACAGTACACTGATGATTGGGTGTTGAAGTTCTCGACACAGTTGGCTAGGCGGCGCTAAGAGTTTGGCTACAGCGATACTGATACTGATACTGCCTCACTTCGTCTAGATGTCTCCGTGGCCAGCATGATGCCGTTTGCGCCTGGTCTTGTTCTGTCTTGCCTTGGCTTGGCGGAAACATGGCCAATTCAACCGCCTGCCATGTGTGTCTTTGCCGCTACGGTGGTTGGAGGGCCCCTCCAAACCCCGTGGTGGGCCTGGCCTGCCTTGCAGGCGTTCTATTTGCAGGATGCATGTAACTTGCGTCGTACTTCAAGTGGCGCCCCAGAGCCAGAATCGTCGTAACTGCAGGACGAGCGTCGTTGAGCTCGAGCCAGCTGCTGCTGCTGGCTTGGCATCCATGTTATGGCCTTTCACACACGGTCAAGCTTTTCGTGCCTCGGGCTGCGTGCGAGCGCCCGTGCTCTGACTCTGGCTCTGGCTCTGGTTCTGGCTCTGGCTCTGGCTCTCGCTCGCCCCGACTTTTGCGCATCGAGTGTGGCCTTCACAATTGCGTATCGAGTGTGGCCTTCACAATTGCGTAGGCCTGCCTGGGTAGGTTGCCCGCTCAGTGCCAGGCCAGGCCTGAGGCCGCCAGCCAGCTCTTGCTTCCATGGTTGCAGCTCGAATTCGCCTCCTGTGCGCCGCTAACGTGCTTTGCCCGTGTATCGAATACTCGAGGTCGACCACGCCGGCACGCATGTGTTAGGTGACAAGCAAACAAGCCCATGAACGCCGTCGGTGCGTCATCCATCCGCCAGGCCTGGCTCTAGGTAGCTCTAGCTCTCCATGGCTCGATGCTTGCTTGCTCGCTCTAGGTACCCGGCAGACTTCTTGCCTGTCCTCCTATCTCTTCCGTCGAGCAGTTAGCTAGTTTCGACGTCTTCCCCGACTTCTTCCTTGATCCTGCCAGCTTACGGTTTCCATACCTCATATCGCCTGAGCTCGCTTTCTCGTCTTCTGTCTTGCGTCTCCCGGCGCATGTCATCAGCGCGCTCCCCGTCCGCAGGGATAGATACTTGGTGGGCTCGCTCTGATATCTGTTTGGCCAACCCGGCATCTCCTCTTCTCGCCGCGTCCCATGCGGCTGGCGCTGAGATCTGGGATCCCCCCTCTGCCAGTCTTTCTCCCTGGTACAGCACTGTACATACATGCTCGTGAAAGGTTCCTATGTCCTCGCGGCAGAGGACAACCTGGCTTCCGCCCAGTGTCTCACACAGCTCAGTCTGTCTGTCACCCAAGTGGGTCGTGGGTCGCGTCTCCTAAATCACACTCGGGTTTTAGCGCGACGGCTTCTTTTAACCGGGGCTCCCTTGTTCCCCCTTTAAGCATTTCGCTATTCACTTCTTTCCCTCCCGCTTCTCCAAGCTTAATTGTCCCAAGGAAGCTTCCTCTTTCCCCAGGGTCAGCTTCCTGCTCGCTCCTGTTACCTCTTGGTGTCCGTCGTGTAATGAAGCTTTGGGGAAACACTTTGTGGCTCTCTCCATTTCTTCTTTGGCCTGGCTGCAGCTAATCTGCTCGCTAATACGTTGGCATTTTTTTTCGTTGTTGCCATACGCGAACAGTAATACGTAGTTCGTGCTGCAGGCATTTCCAACCGCCAAACGTTATATTATAATCCATCCCCACCCGACACACACACTTTTCCGCTAGTACAACCCTCGTCGGCATCCACCTATATACACACTCCTGCGTTGTCTCCCCGGCCTCCTTCCAGACACTGGACTTGTTTTCTTTCCCATACCATGTCCACTACCGTTTCGGCCCCAGCCATCGCCTGCATCTAAAACTCGCAGCCTGGTGATCCGTTTATACAGAAAGCACGCGCCGCCAAGCCAACCTTCTATACACCATGTCGTCCTCGAAACCTCGCCAGCCTCGGCTACGCGCATCCTGCGACGGATGTTTTCTTGCGAAGGTCAAATGCTCGAAGGCGAGGCCGATTTGCTCGCGGTGTCTTGCCTGCGGCATTGAATGCCGATATTCGCCATCAAGCCGGGCAGGAAAGCCAAAGTCAGACACCAGCTCCAGCATGCAGAGCGCCGTCCCAACAGACATGTCGAGCATGTCGCCCGTCTCCGACGACAGGGGCATGGTCTATTCGGCCCACCAAGCAGTCCCAGGGCTGTATAAGCTGGAGACGGGCTGGAGCACACCCCCTACAAGCGTTGATGGGGGGCTGAGTCGCAGTCACTCCATGTCGGGTCTGGCTCTGATGGGCATTGAGACGGGGTCCGCTGGCCATGCCAACCCAACAGTCGCCGGCGACATGTACTCGGCCGGTATGCCGTGGACACCTCCAAACGACATGGCTGCGCATTATGTCGAATCCCCCGCCATGTTAGGACAACTCGGCCAGGGCCACGGCCGATCTCAATCATACGACTATTCCATGTCGGCATCCGTGGCCACTTGGGCGGATCCCAATGCCCACGACATGTACGCTTACGGCCAGTCGCAGCTGCCTAACCCCGGTAGCGTACCGGCAAACTTCTTCCCCAGCCCGACCGCGACACCCCATTCGAGGCCCTCTCCGAGGCACAAATCGTCGTCAACTGGTTCTGGAGGCCCCTGCACGTGTTTTACAGCCTGTCTGCAGTCGCTTCAGGCCCTTCATAACGCCTCCTCGCCGGCATCGCCACCCTCGTTTGATATGGTGCTCTCCCTAAACAGAAAAGCGGTTGAGGGGTGCGCCTCAATGCTTAGCTGCTCGAGGTGCATGAGCCGCTCGGGAACCCACACGGCAGCTATGCTCCTGGCGACCGTCATTGGCAAGATCACATCCTTTTACAAACATGCTTCGCATACCTACTTCGAGAACGGCGCTATCAGTAGCGCGGCGTCCCCTACTGCTCTCGGGGTAAGCCTCGGAGCATATACTCTGATCGGGGAAGAGGGCAGGTGGCTCGAATTGGAAATACTGGCACGGGAACTGCGGAAACTCGAAGAGGTTTACGCACAGTTCCGAGAGGTCTGTGCAGATCTCTCAGAAGACCCAGAAGTCAGCAAGGCCATGATTGGGTATCTCGGGCACACGCTCGGGTCGACCCTAGAAGTCATCCATCACAGAAAAGGCGACATTCCCTATTCATAACAACTTTGTTCCAAAAATTTCTACACGACATGAACCAATACACCACGCGTCACCGCCAAGGACGATGGGGGATTTTGTACGAGATGGAGCCTCGGCAATGGTTCTAATGACCGTTTATGACGAATTCAGATAATTTCACCTCTGTCGCCTTCATTCAGCGCCCATTCAGCGCCGTTCGGCCAGTATTTCGAGATTTTCTACAGTCTTGTTACAGTTTGGTTGCATTTTGGCGAATCAGGCGTTTATGGCACTTCTTTTGGGCTGCAGGCGGTGACCCACGACGACCCTCAAGAACATAGGCCAAGCTGCGAGAGTCGGTCGATCTGGTTGAGAGGAAAAGTGCGTAAGCGGGTTTTGGTAAAAGTCTAGGGGGGTTTCTTTTCTTTCTTTTCTTTCTTTTCTTCGGTCACGGATATCTCTGTCGAGTGAGCCTTGGTGGCTAACCGCTATTTTTTCCACGGCGTTTTCGTTGTCATCTTCACACAGCATGGAAGTTCTGGTTACCATGCCGGACGGTTTGGGGCTATTGTCTTCATCTTTCCCCACGGGGCAAAGAAACGATATTTGGAGTTTGTTTTTGGCATCTTATTTGCGCCATTATCGCGTTCTGTACAACAACTGGAAGATATCACACAAAGAGCAATGACGAGACCTTGCTTCACACACGTCACCCGGCACATGGCACATGGCACACCACAGTTGATTGGCAGACAATTGGTCTGCAGAGGTCGTATTATGGCCCATCTACCGGCCTGTGGGCTCTCCAGTGATCAAGACGGGGCCCCTGTTTCTAGCGTGCGTGAACTTGGCCGTGGTCGCGGCAACAAGTTTTGAGGAGGCCCAGAGTGGGGTTCTCCGGAGACCATCAAAGCGACTGGATTGGGCGCGTGCCGTCTGAACTGTTTCGTTGCTGGAGACTAACAGACACACTCTCAGCCTTGCAACCCCGATTGGGCATTGTCTGGACCAGGCCAAGGGGTAAATGACGCTCCCGAACGGCAAAGCCAACCCGTCCAGGCCAGAATCTCACCCACAGCGGAGACCGACGAGGGCCCCGCCCTCGCCCATTTCCATGGCCTACTTACCTGGCCCGCCGCGGGCCCATATCACGACCTCAGATCGGTATAATATGGCAGCCCGAAGATCCGGGCCACGTGCCAAGTTGAAGAACACTTGACGCGAGCAACGCACGGACGGCTTTGTCTTTTTCGTCGTGAAGCCAGCGGCGCTGCTGGACAGTCCGAGATTCCGTAGTCCAGCTCGCAAGTTAGTCAAAGCACAATTTAGCTTTTTGTTTAGGCTCATTTCCACTCTCTTTTTCGTCTCATTCCAATTCTAAGAACCGAGAGTCGAAATGGGCTGGCTGTAAATAAAGTATAGTATCCATGGTGGTAGCAGAGAACAAAAGACGAGCGTAAGACAGACGAGATCATTGGGCCCGCTAGATCTTGCCTTGAATAGGCACTGCTTGCTACCTGTGTCGCCCGCTGCAAACCCGCAGCGTCCAAGGGCTTAGACGGCAAGGTACCTATAGAAGGTAGAGTAGGTGACGCATGACGACAGGCCAAGAACCCCCCCCCCCCCATCTAGAGAAAGGGAAAAAAGTCCCCGAGACCCCAAGACCCTAGAATTCACGGCAAGTTGGTGGTACGAAATAATGTAGGTCGCCCACCACTTACTTCCACAACGGATGTTGTCATGTCAAGGTGCAACGAAATGAAGTGAACAAAAGTGAATGAAAAGAGGAAAACTTTCTAAGACCACATATCTTTCGATACAATCTACTGCTAGCACACCTGTGAGTATTATAAAGCCTCACCTAACCCGTGAGCCGAGAGGCGAGGGAGGTATGGGAGGCAGGTGACCTTGCTTTCCCCACGCGATCATCACAATGGATGATGATGATGATGATGATGCTATTTTGTTCCTCTCTTTCTTGTTTTCTTCCGTTGTCACTCCGTGGATTGCTGACTCCGACGTTGAATGTCCGCCACAGTCCTGCCGCTTCTTGGCTGACCTACTGTATGGTGGCCCTGACGACGATGGCGGTAGGAAATTCCCAGCAGGGACTGCATTTAGGTACGGCTAATCTAGTTGTATATAAATCCCCAAAGAATGGCGCCATGCCCGAGATAATCAGAGATCGTAAACAATCTCTTTTCAAGGCGGCTACCAAACTTTGGCAGCGAAATCTGAGATAAGCGCGGGAAGAGAGGAGAGAATTCCAGTGCGCGCTCGTTGCTGGTACATACCTTGCCTTAGCCTTGGAGCCAAAGTGCTGACCTGGAAAAGTTAGGTTGGCACACCTGAGTATATGACGAAAATCTAGGCCTTATTACTCACACCGTCACTCTGCAGTTGTTGGTCATCTTGGAGTCTAGTACCGTAGGTAAGGTAACCTGCTAGATGGTTCTGGAGCATGGAAAATCGGGGCATCTCCTTCAACCCTATACAAGGAATAGAACGGCATCAAGTACTACTCCGGAGCAACAGAAGACGAAAGAAACCCACGCGGCTTTGTCGGGCCCAGTTCCGTCCCTGCCGTGCACACTGTGATTATGGCAACCAACAATGTTTATATTCGTCATGAAAACAACGGCACCTCGCCTTCCATACGTCTCTTGAGCCACTCAATACTCCAGGAATAAATGTCGTAGCCAATTAGCTGCTAGGTGAGTTCCCGACCAACAATGGGAAGTCCGTTGGACGGAACAAAACGAAGCGTTAAGAGCTAACTTGAACCTAACCTAAGAGGGGCACGGGGGTTGTCGGGATACCCTTGCTCCCTGGTCCTGCCTGATTAGGAATCCAAACATGCCCACCAGCCTATCGCCGTCCTCAGAGCGTTTTGCCCCTGCCGTCCACTTGGGAGGGGAGGAGGGTTTGCCTGAACACGCCTGAACGCGCAAATTCTCGATTTGCGCTTTCGTTGGTTCGTTCCACGCAAACCCTCGGCAGCCGCTCCCCTCTTTTTTATACATTGGCCAATGTTCTTTTTGTTCTTTAAAAGTCGCTACACTTCCACGTTTGGTCGCCGTTGGCCAAAAGCAATTATACCCGGCGCTCCTTCCGTGCTTGTCTTATTTTTATTTCTCTGTTATTTTTTTTCGTAGCGTACTGCCTCTCTTTCCATCCCGTCTCCGATTCCCCCGCTTAGAACGAGTCTGCTATTGATTCATTCGTCAAGCCTATGTATTTAAATGAAGCGAACCAAACAACACCCGGATGGGCCCATCGATCGTAGAAACAGATTAAGCATTCCTGTTCTATTCTGGGAGACAATCGTCGATGAACCAAGCTTCCCAAATGGCAAGCTAGCCAGGAAGGGCCTTGTTAATTAGTCTATACTCAGTCGATCTTTAGGAAAGTGTATAGGGCGGTGCGAGAGCCGACTGCGGGGGAGGGAGCTCCTGCTCCTTGGCCTCTCGGGAGTTTAGAGCTTTCCCTAGTGCTAGGGTCCAGGGGGTCCCTGCCCTGCCCTGGAGCATGCTCTTCCCCAAGCGACAGGGGCGCAGGGTGGCCTGTTCGCAAAAGCTTGGCCATTTCCCGACATCCCGACAGCGCACCGCCCAACAACCACTCGCTCGCTCACCTTTCACCCACTTAACGAAAAAGTCGGACTTTTAGTCCCCCATCCCAAGTTGATTCCCTCCGCGCGGGAAGCTTATCAAGCTTATCTGAAGATGGCGACTGCTGATCGTGGCCTTCTATCTTGGCTTGTCTCTGCCACCCGAGATGCCCACCCTTTTCTATCTTTTTTTCTGTTTACGCGACTTGCAAGCGTGAATATCCGTCCACTGGCGGACCGTCGTTTTGCCGTCTCTCTGCTGGGGCCCAGAAGACGGGCACCTAGATAGAGAATTTGCTGAGGTATCTATGGAGCCATTGCCTTCTCCATCTGTCCCGCCCCGAGCAGAGGCGCAATGGCAATGCACGTCGCAGTGCGACCTCGGGCCTGTCCGCATGCCCCCCGCCTCGCTTAGCCATCTTCTCTCGCCGCCCCCTCCCCGCACACAACATATTTTCGTCTTTCGGGTGCAAGACGGCGGCTTGATCCTCTCGGAGTCTAGGGAAAGAGAATCTTATCAATTACCAGGTCTAGAATAGGTCGGCTTCTTTCTCGCGGTCCCTAAGATTAGCGCCATCATGATTCCCGCTTCTCGTCTCCTCCCTTTTCATCTCTCGACTCTCAATTCCCTCTCCTCCACAATGCAGATGTAGACTAAATATATCTTCATTTATCTTTTTATCAGTTTCAGTTATCAGCGCGGACATAAGCTGACAACGGAACGGCTATTAGAGGCCTGGCAATGTACCTCGACTATCTAACCGTCTGACATTGTGAGAAATGCGGCAATGTCTTGGGTGGAGACTCTACAAGTCTGCCAGCCAGCAACTAGAGCCCCAGTCGAGCCGGTTCGGCCTCGTCAAACATGACAAATAACCAGCCTTGGCAGCCAGAGAGTAGTATCATGTTGCCGCTGTACGCTGTTGCAAACAGAGCCGCTGGGACTGTCTGCCTATGCGGCTGCAGACAGGCGGCGAGGGGCGTCATCGTCATCTCACTCTTGCCGGTCCAATGGATTGCAACATGCGACTTGCTGAGTCTGGTATTACAAGAGAATGCAACGACACAGCTGCCTCGCCCACCTAGTCAACCGATGCGACCGAGGCAGAGTGCAGAGCCAAGAATTTACACTCAACTCTAACTTCTAGGTGAATAGCTCTCCAAGTAAGATTGCAGCACCCTTACATTCCCAAATTCGGCCTAGGCGTACTCGGCTCGGAGCTAGGTCGTCGAATGTGAAGCCATCAGAGAGGCCATCAAAGGCCAGAACATTCATTCCGACCCGATCATGAGCTGGCCCGCTGACAGTCTTCGGAAGTCTGCCGCTAGATACAATACGAGGCTGGCCCTTTGCACTGCTTGGTGCGTCAACAAATACGTGTACGCCACCCGCATTTTGACTTGGGGCGTCTTGTGGATCCGCGCGGCAGCC